GGGGGGATAAAGCACTATACTTTATATAATAAATTACAATAAACACTATTAAACAGTAGTCATAATTATAGTTGTTTTGGTGGTAATATGTTCAGGTGTGTTCAGTTTTCCGATGTTTCCAAATGTTTAAAATGCCAAATTTTGATGTTGGGTGGTACACACAAAAGACAAGTCACAGTATTTGCATTTTAAGTATTCATCAAATTTATACAAGTTGTATGATTTTTTGTATCTCTTCTAACTTTTTCTACTTACCGAATAAATGCTCAGCTTTAAATTTTTTCTTCTAAAGTTCTTCCACTTGAATTTCTAATTTTCTTCCTGCAGGCTTTTCTTTAATACTCTTTTTGAATGTCACTCATGTCCACATGTTTCTCCACTTTAAACAACCAATCTTCCTTCTGGGGGTTTTCTTTAATTTTTCCCCGAACGTCACACCACTTCTTTAAAATTGCCTCCTTATGTTGTTATACTATGAATTTCTAATTTTCTTCCTGTATTGTTTTCTTTAACATTCTTTTTGAATGTCACTCAGTTTGTGTAATTGAAATTTTGTCCTTATTTTGCTCCACTCGACCACTCTTCCTTCTGGAGGGTCTTCTTTAGTTTTTTTTCTCAATGTCACACAGCTTTTTAAAATTACCTCCTGTAGGATTTTCTTTAATAATTCTTTTTGAATGTCACACAGTTTGTGTAATTAAAATGTTCTCCTTATTTTGCTCCACTTTAAACAACCAATCCCCTTTCTGGAGGGTCTCCTTTAGTTTCCTTTTCTGAATGTCACACACCTTCTTTAAAATTGCCTCCTTATATTGTTCTACTACAAATCCTAATTTTCTTCCTGTAAGGTTTGTAGGATTTTCTTTAATCCTTCTTTTTGAATGTCACACAGTTTGTGTAATTAAAATGTTCTCCTTATTTTGCTCCACTTTAAACAACCAATACCCTTTCTGGAGGGCCTCCTTTAGTTTCCCTTTCTGAATGTCACACAGCTTCTTTAAAATTGCCTCCTTATATTGTTCTACTGCGAATGTCTAATTTTCTTCCCGTAGGGTTTGTAGGATTTTCTTTAATCATTCTTTTTGAATGTCACACAGTTTGTGTAATTAAAATGTTGTCCTTATTTTGCTCCACTTTAAACAACCAATCTTTATTCCGGAGGGTCTCCTTTAGTTTATTTCTGAATGTCACACCGCTTCTTTAAAATTACCTCCTTATATTGTTCTACTACAAATCCTAATTTTCTTCGTGTAGGGTTTGTAGGATTTTCTTTAATCATTCTTTTTGAATGTCACACAGTTTGTGTAATTAAAATGTTGTCCTTATTTTGCTCCACTTTAAACAACCAATCTTTATTCCGGAGGGTCTCCTTTAGTTTATTTCTGAATGTCACACCGCTTCTTTAAAATTACCTCCTTATATTGTTCTACTACAAATCCTAATTTTCTTCGTGTAGGGTTTGTAGGATTTTCTTTAATCATTCTTTTTGAATGTCACACAGTTTGTGTAATTAAAATGTTGTCCTTATTTTGCTCCACTTTAAACAACCAATCTTTATTCCGGAGGGTCTCCTTTAGTTTATTTCTGAATGTCACACCGCTTCTTTAAAATTACCTCCTTATATTGTTCTACTACAAATCCTAATTTTCTTCGTGTAGGGTTTGTAGGATTTTCTTTAATCATTCTTTTTGAATGTCACACAGTTTGTGTAATTAAAATGTTGTCCTTATTTTGCTCCACTTTAAACAACCAATCTTTATTCCGGAGGGTCTCCTTTAGTTTATTTCTGAATGTCACACCGCTTCTTTAAAATTACCTCCTTATATTGTTCTACTACAAATGTCTAATTTTCTTCCTGTAGGGTTTGTAGGATTTTCTTTAATTAATCATTCTTTTTGAATGTCACTCAATTTGTGTAATTAAACTGTTGTATTTATTTTGCTCCTCATTAAATAACCAGTCTTCCTTCTTGAGGGTCTTCTTAAACTTCTTCGAATGGCGCCCACCTTCTTTAAAATTTCCTTCTCGTGTTGTTCTACTTCGAATGTCCAATCTTCCTCCTGCATGGTTTTCTTACGTCGCTTTAAATGTTGACGCCTTCTGGTTCTGATGCTCATCAGAGGTTGTGTGAGTTGTGGATCGAGTTTGGGTTGGTATTTGGGAAGGGGTGGTGTTGTATCAACTTCCATTAATGAGGGAGTAGGAGGAGATGTGATTGCAGGATAGGATGTAGGAGAAAGAGTTGTGGTAGTGAAGTATGTGGTAGCGAAGTATTCGGTAGTGCCAAATGTAGGAGTTCTGTATCTGGCGACGTTTGTGTTAGCAACAGATGCAGTAACAGTGGATGTGGTATTAATATATGTGGGAGTAAGGAGTCTGGCAATGGATGGGATAGTGATGTATGTGTTGACGTATATGATAGCGCCACATGTGGTAGCAATGGGTGTGGTAGTGATGTATGTAGTATCGATGTATGCGGTAGTAGCGTACATGGTGTGGGATTTGACAGTGATGTATATGGTGAAACGTGTGGCTGTGCGATATGTGGCAGCAACAGAAGCGATAGTGATGTCTGTAGTAGTGTATGATGTGGTTGTACTGTATGTATTAATGATGGTTGTGCCAGCAGTGGATGTATTAACATTGGGTGTCAGAGTAGCACTGGATGTGATAGTGTAAGATCTGGTAGCAACTGATGTGAATAAAGGTGTGAATGTGTAAGGTAGGAGTATGGAAGTTATAGGTGTGAAAGGTATGAATCTGGAAGCTGCAAATGTGAAAGGTATGAATTTGTAAGGTATGAATGTGGAAGCCATAGGTATGAATGTGAAAGCTGCAAGTGTGAAAGGTATGAATTTGTAAGGTATGAATGTGGAAGCCATAGGTATGAATGTGGAAGCTGCAAGTGTGAAAGGTATGAATGTGGAAGCTGCAAGTGTGAAAGGTATGAATTTGTAAGGTATGAATGTGGAAGCCGTAGGTGTGAAAGGTATGAATGTGAAAGTTGTAGGCGTGGCATAAAATGTGATTGAAGGATAGGATGTCGGAAAAAGAGTTGCGGAATTGAAGTATGTGGTAGCGAAGTATTCGGTAGTGCCAAATGTAGGAGTTCTGTTTCTGACGACGTTTGTGTTAGCAACAGATGCGGTAACAGTGGATGTGGTATTAATATATGTGGGAGTAAGGAGTCTGGCAATGGATGGGATGGTGATGTATGTGTTGACGTATATGATAGCGCCACATGTGGTAGCAATGGGTGTGGTAGTGATGTATGTAGTATCGATGTATGCGGTAGTAGCGTACATGGTGTGGGATTGAGCAGTGATGGATATGGTGAAACGTGTGGCCGTGCGAGATGTGGCAGCAACAGAAGCGATAGTGATGTCTGTAGTAGTGTATGATCTGGTTGTACTGTATGTATTAGTGATGGTTGTGCCAGCAATGGATGTATTGGTACTGGGTGTCAGAGTAGCACTGGATGTGATAGTGTAAGATCTGGTAGCAACTGATGTGAATAAAGGTCTGAATGTGTAAGGTACGAGTGTGGAAGTTGTAGGTGTGAAAGGTATGAATGTGGAAGCTGTAGGTGTGAAAGGTATGAATGTGGAAGTTGTAGGTGTGAAAGGTATGAATGTGGAAGCTGTAGGTGTGAAAGGTATGAATGTGAAAGCTGTAGGTGTTAAAGGTATCATTGTGAAAGCTGTAGGTGTGAAAGGTATCAATGTGGAAGCTGTAGGAGTGAAAGGTATCAATGTGGAAGCTGTAGGTGTGAAAGGTATCAATGTGGAAGCTGTAGGTGTTAAAGGTATCATTGTGAAAGCTGTAGGTGTGAAAGGTATCAATGTGGAAGCTGTAGGTGTGAAAGGTATCAATGTGGAAGCTGTAGGTGTGGAAGGTATCAATGTGGAAGCTGTAGGTGTGAAGGGTATCAATGTGGAAGCTGTAGGTGTGAAAGGTATCAATGTGGAAGCTGTAGGTGTGAAAGGTATCAATGTGGAAGCTGTAGGTGTGAAAGGTATCAATGTGGAAGCTGTAGGTGTGAAAGGTATCAATGTGGAAGCTGTAGGTGTGGAAGGTATCAATGTGGAAGCTGTAGGTGTGAAAGGTATCAATGTGGAAGCTGTAGGTGGGAACAAACGTGCCATGGCGCGTTGTAGAAGAAGCTGCAGGTTCTGTTACCGAGCCCTTTTACCATGAGAAAATAAGAAAAGAATGTAAGAAGTAAGAAAGGATTGTAATGCATCAGCAAATGAAATCATCATGACTCGCTATACCGCTTCGCTGAATCTACAACTATACAGATGTACCACGACGCAATTTTTAAATTCTTAAAAGAGAGGTTCTGTGGTGACATCAGAACAAGCGTTTTTCACCTCGTGACTTCTATCTCGCTACAGACTCATGTGAAAAGAGTCAGCCAACGCTCTGCCGAAAGTCTCGGTGCTCCGGTTTCCTCCCATAGGAAAAGTTGTCAGGTTGGATAATTACAGTTATCAAGTAATATCACAATTGTTGTAAAGATAAAATAGTCTAGGCTAGGTATGTAAGCGTAACACGTGATGTAAAGCGCATTTGATCATACCCAGATGTAAAGTTACGCTATAGAAAAAAATGTTAATTGTTATTTCAGATTATAAAACAATAGTCTTAGAAATTGTGAGCACGTCCCGTATTGTATTCTGCCGACACTTTACGTGACATGCTCCTATGAAAAATTAAAGAAATGGATTTCATCCTTGGATCATGCATGCTCACAATTCCCCTGCGACTATTTTTTAGACTGCAGCCTCCTCTGCAAGCCCTCGTTGTGTCATGGGAAGGTCACGATTTCGAGAGGGCCTGCGGAATCTTGTAAAATGAATAAATGTTGTTTTAAACCTGCTTCGTTAAAGAAGGCAGTTTTATTCGTGCAACGTTGGTGTGGACAACAAACCTTATCGTTAAAAAATGCTTCCTTCCACGTCCTTAGAGTCGCCAGTTTAATTTACAAGTTTCACGCCGCTTTTTTATATCTGTTTATATTCAAGATTGTGCAGAAATTTACTCGCTGACCTGACGCCGGCGCCATTTGTTTTACAAGATTCCGCAGGCCCTCGCCAGATCTTGACCTTCCCATGACGCAACGAGGGCCTGCAGAGGAGGCAGTTTTTTAGATGACTGACTCTTTGTCAGAAATTGCGTTCCAACAAAAATCGCAGTAAAAATAGAATTACACTATAAATTCCGAAAAGTCAATACGACAAACCATGTACAAAAATCACTTACATCTTGCGGTGGCTCTCCTCGTACGGGCTTTCCTTCGCAGAATCGACGAACATTGCGATCTCCAGTTCCGTCAGTTTCGACTTGCAGATCGATCGATTCATCTTTGTCACTTTGGCATGCCTCTGCCAGAGGTAATCCCATGTATGTGGTTTTCTTCGGAGGATCGGCGAACATGACGATCTCAAGCTCCGACAGTTTTGACTTGCGTCTTGATTTGTTCAATTTTTTTTCTTTGGTTTTTTGCTGTTTACCAAAACAGCATGAAATAGTGTTCCCCATTTTTTTCGCACAGACAGTATTTGCTCTATGCGAGCAGACAATGTAATATACTTCAAAAGTACTCTGTTGAATAAATCTCCTTGCACTGTAATTGACAGCTTGGAAATGAAGCAATTAGTGTCAAACAATCAGTAATTATAGCGCGTTCAGATAATCAGTCACTTGATGACGAGTAATTGAATAATCAAAACCACTAGAGCGCGCGTTTTTCGCTGCGTGCGCTTTTCGCTGCGTGCGTTTAAAGGCCGTTTTCCAATTCTGTTTTCCACTTCGCCCGTACCGAAACGAACTAGTGAGCATGCGTAGATTGAAAATAGGTTGATAAATCCACGTACTTCCGGGTGTATTCGCGTATCAAAATGAAAAGTTCGTCGCAAGTCAACTTTTTGGCATACTACGGAAGTATTTAACTAATCAACATTCACTAAATTTTGAAATTAAACATTTTTTTATACATTTCGGTACGGTACGCTTGAATGGAAAACGGCCTTAATTCTTTTTTAAAGAACCTTTTTCAAATCATTTTATTACTGCCTGTTTGTTAATATAATTAAAGTGAGAAGTGAGAATATTCCTCATTTGTTACGAAACCAAACGAGACTAGACAAAATCTGATATTAAATCTAATCAATTTTTTTAATCGTGTTTGTATTCGTGTAAATGTAGTCTGAGGGTTTTTTTCTCACAACAGACACACAATATAGTTCGATCACTCTAATGAATTCAACATGTTATAAAATCCAATAATTTCAGGGAAATAGGAAACAGCAGAGTTTTGTAGGAGATAGAAATCCTGAAAAAATACAAAAATAACGTTTTTTTGGAAGATTGTAACGTGAAGAATAGATTCTCGAAGATTTTTTTGTTCGAACTTTTTAATGGACGTGTTTTTCTTTCAGACCAACCCTAAAGCATCAAAGACCACAGGAAGAAAAACAAAAACAATTTGCTAAGATAGATGCATCGTATAAACGAGGCACAAAAGAGGTACTTTGATTTTGTAGTGTATATTGCGGTTCCTTTGTATTCAGCGGCAATGGGTTTTACCCTCTATTATAATTATTGTAGTGCGTCTATAATTTTATTTCTTCTCAAGAGAAAACTCTGTTGAATTAATGAGTTGATAATTTCACCATATTCCCTTGTTCTCCAAGCTTCTTTGTTCCCGGCCATTTTTTTTTTACTTTGTTCCTCTGTTTCCATTTGCAAAATCTACTTTGTTCTCTTGCAATTTCGCAAGCCATGCTCCAAGGCATGAGAAAGTCCGCCAGCATGGCAGGAGCAAGAAATATATTAAGGAAAAGCAAGAAAGATATTAAGAATGAAGCTCGAGAAATTTCAAAAATCAGCATTAAAGTAACAAACATCACAATTAGAGCATAAATACAACAATCATAACATAAAAATTTGTATCATGTAACAGTGCTACGACTGTCTGTTAATTTGAATTACAACCAAAATTCATATTTATAAAAAAAACTGGCAGGAAATTTTTGGTCTGGGAAGCCTGCTGCCAGGAAGAAAAATATTTTATCAAGGCTTGCCAGGCTCTTTATGGTGTTTTTATATTTATTAGACTTCTGCGATAAAATACCGTAAAGGAGCATGTGAGAATTGTGGAGCGATGACTCATAAGAAGAAGGACTGCTTGGAGGTTTGTAAGGTCGCCATTATTGTAGGCATACTTTGCTTGTGTACACGACGTGTAGTTTCCATTACTCAAGCAACATTGGGTCTTATACTTGACTTCTGCGGATAATACAGTAATTTAGGGAAAAAAAACTGATAAAGCTATCAGTATATAATAAATTACTTTTGTTTGGTATGTCTCGTGTAGTATGAATTCATTCTTCCTATAGCGTCCTCGCCGTGTTGGTGCGAGATTCACAGGAGAAGATATCAGACCGGATGAATACCTTCCAGAGCAAGTGAACTTTGACTACGATGGCAAGAGAGATAGGTCAGTACCTTAGCACGCCTTAATTATTCGCATGAGAGGAGAGTGTTTTATATCTTAATTATGTTATTCAACCAGACACCCGAGTAACTCCGGTTTCTTCCTGGAGTAATACTGGATCAAGTACAGTAGGCATGGCGTTAGCAGCGGGAGGGTTTAGAACTATATAGTAGAGCTAAATCGTGCCTGCTTATAATATACTCAATTGAAAGAGTTCAGGTTTAAAATCCATTTTATAATACTATTAACTTTATTTAAGGTGGGTTGGTTATGATTCAGAAGAACATCAGCGAGTACTTGAAGAATATCAAAAAATGGAAATGGTAAAATTTTACTAAATACTATATGTCTAAGTCATTATTTCACCTCCATATATACCTTTGTGTCAAAGTCTCTTTGGGTTTCTCGCAACTCTCACACAGTACTGTATATACTAGTACGAAATTTATTTTACAGATTTTGCCATTTCAATAGATTACATGGCTGGAATTACCACACAGAGATTAGTTCTCCAATAACGGGGTTCCAATGTGTATATTAGCTTGTGTATTAGTTACTGTACATGTGCATTAGCTTGGACAATATTTGTTTTGTTAGGCAAAGCAGCAACTGAAGTCCGATAAACTACATCAAGATTTGATGGATGGAAAGAAAATTGAGGAAAAGGTACGATTATTCCAATTCACAGATTGTAGAATGAAGGTCTGTGCATTAGAATTATCTACATATATGATTATATGAATAACTCTTTACTCGTACACATGATGCGTACTGGATACAGTACCTTCGTTTTATTTTATTTTTCACACTAAAACTACAACTTAACATGTGAGTAACTTGACATGTATAAGTCATGTGTATTATGCCTTTGAACCGAATTATTCCTTTCAACCTTTCAACAATTTTGTGTATGTATAGTAAACATTTGACATTTCTTCAAATTGAAACGGCAAATTATTTGTTGCAGGAGAAGTTAAGTGACGACGATGAAGAGGATGAAGATAAATATGCTGATGACGTCATCATACCCGGACAGAAATTCGACAGCAAGAGGTAGTACATTGGTCAAAATTTGCTTACCCTAATTCATACATGGTTGCTAAGACGCGTATAAGCTTGTGATTTGATCAAATAGTTGAAAGTTATTTGCCCTTCACACTTTGTTATACTAATTTATGCTTTGGTAGTACATACATATAAACCAACCTTTAATACCCCCGCGGAATATCATCATAATTAATAATATATAATTTTGCTTTGTAGGAGAACGACAGTACGAAATTTACGTATCCGAGAAGATACGGCTAAGGTAAATCAACTTGGGATAGATCCAGTTGATGATCCAGCTGTCTTATGGGTTCATTAGGGCGTGACCATCGACCAGGATAGGGTACACCATCAGGCCAGTATTCTTGGTCGCGGCATGAACCATGGATCGAGCTGGTGGTATGGTGGGGGTATCTTATGGGGGTAACCCCCTTAGCAAACCCCCACCCTTGGCGTGGACACGCCGTAGTAAAATCTTCATTGAAGCCTGAAGACAATTGAATTCTAAAGAACCTGATCCTAACCATGTTATCGTTATATCAGAGTCTGTAGTTTTGTTTGTTGAAACTCTTAGAATTAATCCCCGTGAGGAGTATAATGGTATGAGATTGCTCTGAATTTAAATTATCTTGAAAAAGTTGGGTTTTCTTTGCATGCAGTCTGTTTAGCATGCATAGTAACTTACTGTGGTACGTGTATGGTCTATAGACCCATTGCACACGACGTCACAGCGCTCACACTCTAAGGATTTGTGTTTGGTCTATACCGTTTGGTTTTGTTTATTTAGATTGAATATATTATCAAAATATATTTAGCCTGGATGAACAAAAACAAAAGTGATAAACCTGAACTTAAACTCTTCAACAACTTCATTATTTTCTACTAGTACTTGTACAACTTGGATCCAAACTCGGCGCACTACGATCCGAAAACGAGGTCCATGAGAACCAACCCGTTTGGTCTGAAGGATATAGCTGGAAAGTAAGTTCGATAGGACATGTGTTATGTGTAGATGGCTTTTGTTTTTATTTTCTAATGTTTTGTTTTAATTTGTAGAGCTGTAACGTATCAAGGTGACAACTTTGTGCGTTACTCGGGCGATACACAGAAGATGGCGAACACACAATGTAAGTTGAAATTGTTATTAGTTCCTTCAATATAATAGGAATAGCAAGGGAAAAGGACGTTTCCTCCTGGGTGGAAAAAATAGTGACATCAGGTCGAGAATTGTTTTAGTTTCCTTCACGTGATTGAGGCACTTTTTCTTGCAACTTGCAACGCAATCGCTGGTCTGCAGACATGTTTATTAATCAAATACGTAATAAAAATCAGTGCAAGTGGGCCTTCTACTACTATTCCGACGCCATCTTTAATAATCGGGAAACAGCTCGTGGCGGGTTCGCAGGCCCAAAGCCTCTCGCATGTGAACATTTATATTCCCCATCCTTACCCCCATACACCCAGGACCAGACGCTCAAGTGTCGGTGTATATTTCCCCGGATGTTGCTCAAGGGCGATGGTAACAGGGAAAATTGAACCGTGCATAACACTTATCCTAACCCGATTCCAAATGTTTTAGTATTCGCATGGGAAGCGTACGAGAAAGGGACAGATGTACATCTGCAAGCAGATCCAACCAAGTTAGAACTTCTTCATCGTGAATATAAAGTCAAGAAAGAAGACTTTAAACAGGATTTGAAAGGCGGAGTACTGGAAAAGGTATTATTCATGAAAAGATAATTCCTGATTTAATTGCTGATCATTTCATGAATTGGATAGTCTGTAATTATAGTTGGTTAATTGCATAGGTAATTAATGAGAAGATAATTCCATGCATTTTTCGTAATTATTTATTTAATAATACATTCCTTTTTTCCTTTTGTATTCCTAGTATGGTGGTGAAGAGCATCTTAATGCACCTCCGAAAGAGTTGCTGTTTGCACAAACTGTAAGTAAAGTGGCGTTGGTTTTTGTTCTAAGTAATTCTTCCAACATTTGGAGATACTCTCAGTATCTCAGTAGGAGAGTTTGACTCATTTCTGCAATGTGCAGTCGTCTGATAATAATTATAAATCCTCTTGGTCGTATGTAAAAAATCTTCCCAGTTTGTCTCTGCTAAACACCTCAGTTTTCTCTTGTAGTAACAAAAGTGACAGGTTTAGAAGTGATAAATTTACTCAGTAAAATGATTAAATTGATATGGAAAATAATGTAATTAATAATTTGATTTAATATCTTCTTTGAACAGGAAAATTATGTTGAATATTCAAGAACAGGCGAAGTGGTAAAAGGTACATTATACCAAATACAACTGCAATGCATTGTTTTGAATTGTGAATATACGTTATCTGCACATCTTCTAAAATCATCATGATTCATTAACTGTGTCCAAATTATGTTTAGGTCAGGAAAAAGCCATTCAAAAGTCAAAATATGAAGAAGATGTTTACATCAATAACCACACAGTAAGTGGGTCAACTTTTGAGCTACATATATATTGCATTCTTGATTTTCAAAACATGACCACGACAAACTATATACAGATCATATATATGATCTTCATTGAAATTGTGCTAAGCGAATGCTGAGGCATATTGAGAATATTGCCAAAAAATCCCCAAGTTTACAGATCATATATATGATCTTCTTTAAAATGGTGCCAAGCGAACGCTGAGGCATATTGAGAATATTGCCAAAAAATCCCCAAGTTTGCCGAGGGCTGTTAAACTACATCACTGTATCGATACTCAAGCACATTGTTGGCCACGAGATACGTAGTGACGTCATCAGCAAGGTGGAAAACGAAGAATACCTAACCTGATTTATAATTCTCTTTTTTTTTGAACGATATACATTGAATCATTTAGAGTGTCTGGGGCTCGTATTGGGTTGATGGTAAATGGGGTTATGGCTGCTGTCATTCTCTGGTCAGAGGCTCCTACTGTACAGGCGAGGCTGGAAAAACTGCTTATTCAGTAAGTGTAATGTTAGACAGTGCAACTGCTGTATAGATATGTAAAGAAAACGGGAGTACTGTGTGTTTGAAACATAGATATCTATGGTTTGAAATCAAACTAGAAGCACCTTGTCACATGCAAATGAGATGAATGTATAAATTCGCGTATTGCATGAATGGACCCCGGTCGCTGAGCCGCAATGCGTATACTGATAAACACATTTTATAAAAAGAACACATAATACAGTTTATTTTATGGTTCACAATGAAATCAACATTGTTTCGATCATGAATAGTATATAGCATATAAAATTGAAACATGAGTGGATTCAGGTCTATATGACAGAAGGGACGCAGATTTTTCAGAAGTATAAAAAGCCCCGTTAATCACGTCCATTTTGTTATGCGCTTGGTAGGTGGCTAAAAATCCCGCATAATATCCATCTTTGAGCTTTGATTGAGAGCTAAAGAGCTGTTTAATTTTCTGAAATTAAACTTGTTGAGCTAAAGACTTATTTAATTCGTTTTTCTAGCAAGAACTTCCCGCAATTGAGAACGATGATGGACGTGAAGGAAAATCTTTAACTGAGGTAAGAAAAAAATTACTCGCACACAAATTTAAAATAATAAAATTCATCACTTGTTCCAGATTCCTTTGGTGGCTTATACTGTATAATTTCAGCAAATGTAGAACGAAATGGTTATTTTCCGGTCACGGAAACCAACGAGCTTTGGCTATTTGTCCGTGAATTAATTTGATTGGTTCATTTAAATGGCCAGCGGTTGTTTCACACAGCGAAACCGGAACCTTACCCGCACCTAACCCCTTCCCTGACCCCCTTTCCTAATCTCTAACCCCTATAACCCGAACTCATTAGGCCACTTTTGTCTGTAGCTCCACAATGAAAAACGAAAGGAGAAGAAGAATAAAAAAGATAAAAAAGATGAGCGAGATAATTCAGATGAGCTGGATAAAGACAAACTTAAAAAGGTATACTTTGTTTCAACTTTATCTATAAGTTTAGGTTCTGTTTGCAGTATTAAGAGCTAAAGTTTTAAATATAGTTGTTACAACCGTCTTGTGAATTTAACCAATGGACCTTTCCCCTTATAACTAAAATTTCGATCTAGACAAAAATTTCATCACAGCTTGAAAGAGCATCACAAAATTAGTAATATTCCTAAGTTTTGTTGCAAAATCTTGTAAAATGCGGATAATATAGCCTTGCGAAGTTTGCCGTTTTTCAGTCATTTTGTATTACAAACGGGAAATTGACATCCGATTCGGGTGTTGGGGCTGCAATTTCCCGTTTGTAATGCAAAATGACTGAAAATTGCAAACTTCGCAAGGCTCTATTTTCCTCATTTTACAACATTTCACAACGAAACTTTGGAATATTACTAATTTTGTGATGCTCTTTCAAGCTGTGATGAAATATTTGTCTAGACTTGCTTAGATCAAAATTTTGGTTATAAGGGGAAAGGTCTATTAGTTATACACTCGGCTCTTTATAGGCATTACATGAGGAAGAGAAACAACAAAGACACGCAGATAAATTATTAAAACTGGACGAACGCAAAAGATCATATCCTTTATTATACGTTTTACAAAAGCTCCCCCCCCCCCGCCAATGATTTCAAAAAGCCTGTGTATGAAAGCTGGAGTTACACGAGCAACAAAATTGCTGCAACTTGCAACAAAATCTGATTTCAACGCATGTTAATTGAAAATGTTTACACATGAATTACAAATCACAAGGCAACATGTGACGACATTTCTACTTAACATGCGCTGAAATCAGATTTTGTTGCAAGTTGCAGCAATTTTGTTGCTCGTGAACTCCAGCTTAACTATGTAGGAAAGATAATAATTCTTCGACCATGAAAGCGTTGGTAGTCTATAAAACAAGCTACACATTTCATGGAATTTAAGGCAAAAAATTTAAAAGTTTCCAGAAACAAAAGGTGGTGGTTATATGTTGACAACCTATACTTTGCCCCCTCCCCCCCACCACCACCAATATTTCACCACGGTTCTGTATAAATTTTCACTTAACATTATGTACATATAACTCCCTCAAACGAGACTTCCACGAAGTCACAGCCGAAGAACTAGAAGCATACAGAATCAAAAGGCAGAATACCGACGACCCGATGAGCAGCTTTAACAGATGATAACCTGGTATTTGTAAATTTCTGTAAAAAGGTTTTTTGCCCAACACCCAGGGTTCAAGTGTAGATAGTATTGTACAGTATTCTGCCGTGTTTTGGACCGGAACTACCTCCACGTTTCGAAGGCATTTCTTCAGAAACTTAATGTTGTTGGGGCACTTTCATATGCACCTTTTTCCTACCAATCTTCTCAGGGATAAATAAGAAATTTTAGCTGGACTTGAGTTCTTAAGGGTTCAAATCTTCAACCTAACAAATTTCCTGCAGCTGTTTAACTATTTTTCGACTATTTTCCACCCCTGGTACTAGCCTGTAATATCGTCGTGCCTCCGATATGTAAGTACAGGTATTATCGCACACTTCCGCTGACGAAGATCTCCCTCGAACCGTCCAAATGTATTTTTTTAAATTAATCTTTATTAGGTAGTTCGGACCACTTGGCTATACTAACTCCTTTATAGTTCAGACCACCACGGCAGCTTATGTAAAATACTATCTACATTAACCTTGTCAAAATAGGTCCAATTAGACATTCCGAAGTTGATGAGTGGACTGGGGACGAGTGTTAAAAAGTGCCCAAATTAAGAAATTAACCAAATCACTAAAAAGACAACCTCAAAATTAGTAAGTATACAAAGTTTGAAGACATTTATACGAATATCCTTCGAATAATAAGCTTTCGAAAATCGCGATATGTACTATGAAATGTATTGTAATTTTTGTTTTGGGGACGCGCGTCCCAAAAACAATCTTTTAATCAGTAATTTCACAATTTTGGAAAGCTTATTATTCGAAGGATATTCATGTAAACGTCTTCAAACTTTGTATACTTACTAATTTTGAGGTGGTCTTTTTAGTGATTTGGTTCATTTCTTAATTTGGGCACTTTTTAACACTCGTCCCCAATCCTCTCATCAACTTCGGAATGGCTAATAATTGGTCAATTATGGTTTGCGAAGGAGTGAATTAACGCAAGTGGAAAGCGTTTCGTTTCAGTCACAGACGGTGTTGTCGCAATAATGTAACTCATGGCTATATTGAGGCCAGAGTAATATATAGTGCATTGTGCCCACCGTCTGTCTGTTGGTCATCGTCAGCTGTGCACAATGGATTGAACATGGAGATTTACTGTCAGTTTCAATTTTGTTTCCATGTAAAATCATTTCTATGCTATATTGAATATGATCATGTATGTACAATTTTATCATAAGTATCACAAAATCATACGTCCAAAATCAAGGAGACCAGGCTCCAATCTTAGTAATAGGCATTATTACATTTACATCTTTGGCATTTGCGGGTCATCACAGTATCAAATTTGTTTGTTGATTATTGTTATCATTAGTTTACAGACTGTCAATGTCATCGTAAGCATTCTTATTATCTGAATTATTTTTACCACTATCATCACCAACACCACAATGGTCACCACTACCATTTCCATCAACCTCAGCTTTAATATTGCTTTTACTACCATTATAATCAACATCATCTGAAACAACATCATGACCACTATCATGATCGTGATTGCTATCAACCCCATCACTTGCACCACCATCATGATTATCATCACCATCATGATTATCACCATCATGATTACCATCACCATCATGATTACCATCACCATCATGATTACCATCACCACCTACATCATCATCAACACAATCATGATCAGCATCATCACTATCATGAGTGCTGTCTTCAACACCATCCTTGTCAACACCATCCTTACCAACACCATCCTTACCATCAATACCATCATGACCACCATCAACATCATCATGACCATCAGCCTCATTGCTACTATAAACAGCATCTTCACCACCATTAACACTATCACCACCATTAACACTATCACCACCATTAACATCACTTTTGTCACAATAACCATCGTCAACACCATCATCATCTTCACCACCATCATCAACATCATCATCATCATCATCATCATCGTCAACATCATCATCATCAACATTACCACCATTACCACCACCATCATCATCACCACCATCATCATCATCATCACCACCATCATCATCATCATCATCACCATCATCATCATCATCATCACCACCACCATCATCATCACCACCATCATCATCATCATCATCACCACCATCATCATCATCACCATCATCATCACCATCATCACTACCAGATATAGCAGCTGCTAATTTTCTCCAGCAGTCCTTTCTTGATTTAGATCCTTTCATTTCAATTTGTGTATATATCTTCAATTCATCTGGCACCTGACATTCCTCAAGTAACACCGGAATAATTTTCTTGTGTTTTCCACCATTTTGTGATTCATTGAAATCATAGACTGCATGCTTCAATTCCCACGGGGCCCACAACTTTCTAAGAAATTCAGGGGAGAGTAGAAAAATAACACTCCCACTTGACTTAATACTCTCACTGATGTTATCAGTAGTTGCTTTTCCTGGAACAAAGTTTTCCAAGTCAATACAAACTTGAAGACCACACTCAGTTTCTAGGAATGTTTTCAGTTCCAATGCAATTTCACAATTTTGCTTAGCATAACAAAGCAGCGTGTCGTACTGTGTTTTGGAATTTTCAATAACATTTGTTTCTGTTGGCTGAGTATTTGAAGTTGGGTCAGTTTTGTCAGAAGATTGTGTACATATGGGATTTGTGATGGATATTTGCTTTCCAGGATCCTCTTTGGTCTTTACTGGTGGACTTTTGGGGAGCCTTTGGGATACACCTGCCTTCTTCTTGGATGGGGTATTTTTTGTGTCCTTGGCAACCCTCAACAGCTTTACACATGGGGATTTGGTATGTGCTGATTGGGGATCCATGGGGTCTGTTTTAACCATTGTCTTTGGTGGGCTGGTTGTGTTTTCTTTTGGTATTTGATGATCTTTTAGCTTGAGCTTCCCCTTGGATTTTTTAGAAGTGGTTGATTTTGTAGGTTGCTTGGTTGTTGGAAAGCTGGAGTTGGTGAAAGGTTCAGCTGTTTCTGTTGTTGGTGTTCTAAGCATCTCGGACTGTGAAGTGGATGTTGCCTCTTGTGTCATGTTGTTGTGTTCAGGTTCTGGATGATGTGCTTGATCTGGGGAAAATGTGGGTTAATTTCCAAATTAATTAACCAGACACATGATGTGTAAAATCATCTGGCGTTAGACCAACCTCGTACCCAGGGCAGCCAGCCATGAAGCCCTGGGTATGAGGTTGGCATTAGACAGCTAGTATATAAAGTAATAAAGTAGGGTGCAATGTTAAAAAACTAGACTTTTGAGGTCCTTAAATCCTAATGATTCTAATCCCAGTCCATTAACGGAGCTGCTGAAATTGATTGTTAAATATGTTAATTGTATAATTTTAATTGACCCTTTAAGTGGTAATGTGCTCTGATGCACCCTACTTTATTATTTTACTCTGTTTAACGGCAGAAGACTTTACTCTTCAAGGGGAAGAGCACTGCCACCTAATTATAATCCTAACCTAAACCTAGAATACCCTTAGAAAAGCAGCTCTGTTTGGTAACCAGAAAGCACCCATAGTCTCATGCAACTGAAAATATTAATGGTAAGACAACTGTGCAAATAGAATAGAGTTTCACAAGGCTGGAAGCAAATGCCTTCGGAGTTCGGAAATCCGCACGGAATAAGTATGAAATATAAAAATATACAATAATGTAATATTAAAATAGAAATAAATATAATATAGTACATGTATAAAAACAACTCGCCTTTCACGGCATTTTCTAACGATGTTTTAAGGTGTCGACATCCGGTTTCTTCAAGCGCATTCAAAAACTGCTCAAAAGCCCCTGGCCTTTTCTTTAATCTGTCCAGTAAAGTCGGTACGGCTGCCCTCGGCCCTTCGCGATCTTGTTTAAACTGTATTTGTTCACAGTCATCATCTGTTAGGCAAAGTAGATAGGGCAGTACATCGCTTGGAATAACATCGCTTTTCAAGTCAACAGCAAATTGTTTGATTATTAGCCGTTCGCTGTCCAACATTATACATCAGTTCTGTATATATTTTCAAGTAGTTAATAGCAGTGAAATAACAGTGTGTATTTTAGAGTTTTTAAACGTTCTTTGCACACACACAAATTCGATTTTTAAGGTTTTGTGTACGTACAAATGCAGTGATTTGAGTGGTTTCGAAAGAGTGACTCGAATTTCGATATCTGTGCGAGCTTGATATAAATATTATGACATGTTTGTGGGGAATTCCCTTTGATGATGTCAGAATATATTAAATCGAAACCGGAGAAAAGGTATATCATACTGAAATTATCCTCCGAAATGGGTCAAACAGATATGGAATATCCGTTAAGGCGAACTATCTGTGTGGTTTGTTCGTCGTCTGCTCAGACGAACTTGCGAGTGACATCATACTCAAAAAATTGGTTGGGGAATTCCCATTGACTATGGTCAACTCTGAGTTAAAGGAGGATAATGGTCGATAATTGTTGCATGATCAATTTGTTTGCTACATTCAACTTTGTTGACTGGCAAATACATTTAACGAAAACATATATTTGTCCATACATTTAAAGTCCAGTCCAACTATCGCAAGTATCAGTGTTTATGAAGACTCCCCCCTTTTTAGCGTACACCCGCATTTAGCCTACACGCCTTTGATTTAAAAGTTTCACCAAAATATTTTAACACCCTGACAATGATTATTCGCATTGCGCACGTGTGCAAAAGTGAACTCGGTGCTTTTGACTCGAAAAAATGAAAAGATCTTTGTATTTTATCATGTAAAGTTGGAGTTGTAAAGTTTCTCTGCATGACAGAAATGGGAGACGAGTGTTTTTTCGATATTTCGGCGCCACAGCTGTCGGGAAATCTCAGTAGTTCACCATGGATGACACAAAATGAGTCGAACGTTCAGCGTCAACAACAGATACCCAACCATGTGCCGCCTATAAATGACGGACTGAATGTACCTTTTCCTGTGAGGTAGTATTATTTTGAATGAGCCTATTTATAATGGAACCGGGTTCACCCGTTCTATAGGAGAACAGCCCATAGTTAATTTTTTAGTAAAAAACCAGTCTAGTCTGGTTGCAGTCTGCAGAGCCTGTGAAAAATGCAGAATTCACAATTATGCTATGGCCTATTAATTCATTTGTAAATACTTGAATTTCAGCCCAGCAGCAAACTGCGGAGCAAGCAATAAGCAAGGTGATAACATGGACACTTGGGATCCAATGGATGATGATTTTGCTTGCCCAACTTTCAACAGCTATAAAAACTTTGATGTCCTCAAGGCTGAACATCCAAGTGACAAGTATGTCCTAAAACAAAACGTTCATACACCATTTAAATACTTTCTAATGAGTTTCCAGCAAAGGGGAAGACTGGACTCTTCTTGCCAATTAATGCAATATTGCCGTGCACCCGCTGCGAGAAATTGTGCACACAAAGATGTGTTGCGTGTAAGGCACCGTACTGCAGCCGAGAGTGTCGGAAGATTTACAGGGCAAGACATAAACTTGTGTGCACCTATCAGAGCAATACCAAAGTGGATTACAGTAATTCATCTGTTATATGTTGCCTACTTTTTACAGGTCCCCAGAGAAAAGCATTCGGCAGTCACCAGAGAAACGAGCTGAAGAAATCTCACTCTATGTTGGCAATATTCCATTAAGTATAACCAATGTAAGTAAGGGGATGTCAGACAAATAGGTTTTGTCACACTTAACCGCAAGTTGCAACCCCTCCCCATTAGCTGCAACCTCTGAATAATGAGGAGAAACCCATTCTACATATATTCTTAATATATACGAAAAAGGAACATTTGCAACCTTGGGGAACGAACGATATTTTGTACACAGTCGCAATAGTCAAATTGCACTTGTCCTATTAAATGCCTGTGGAGGACTAGGGTGAGTTTTCATCACATCAAAATAATTTTAATGGCATTTAACCCCCTCCCACCCCTTAACAGCCAACTTGTTGTTAAGGGACTGCTCATTATTTATTGTACAGGGGGGGATTGAGGAGAAACTGGGGGGGCCTTTAAATTTTTTAAAACCTGAAAGGGGGGGGCTTTGAAAAAATACACAGTGACGAAAGAAGGGGGGCTTTGAAAATATTTACCAGTTTGAATAAAACATTACTAGTTTTAAAAATGTACCACAAAACAACTTAACAACAAATAATGTTTATAGACCTAATATTTATAAATGGAAGCCAAGTCTCTTATGTTCATGTAAATAGACAATTCCCATTGTAGACTAATTTTAGAACTAGGCAAAGAGATGCAAATCAAGGCCGAATTTTGGTGAAAATAGTGGGGGAGGTGGAAAAAAATGTTAGGGGAGGTGCAGCAGTATAGCTCACAACCCCCATGGAAAATTAGGGCTTATTGTAGAACAGGCCAATATCAACAAGGTGAGGTATGCATGTAGTGTACATATGTACCAGTGTATTAATGAATTATGAATGTATGACTCCAATCTTGCCTTTCATTGCAATTGCTACAAAGTTTCTTTCAAAACATTGCATTAACAGTGTACTTGACACATATATGAATGGCTATCACTGTTTCAATTTTACAGAGAAAACTTTCTTATGTCACAAAGTGTAGATCCTAAGCAACCATCACATTTTCACTTTGTTCCATCATTGAAACTTTCCGAAGGGGAGGTGCATGACCTTTCAGGAGAAGTGCAAAAATTCTCAGGGGAGATGCAAAACGATCTCAGGGGAGGTGCGCACCTCTCCACACCTCCCCTCAAAATCCGGCCTTGATGCAAATAAATCACCATTGCTAGAAAGAGAATACTAAAATAAGTAAATTATTTCAAAGTTTGGTTGCGAGTTGTTGTAAAATACGGAAAATATAGCCTTGCTATACTTTTGTATTGCATGCGAAAATTGCAATACAAAAGTATACAAAAAAATTTTTGCAACTTTGGAAGGCTATATATTTTCTACATTTTACAACATTTCGCAACCAAACATTGCAATTTTATTAATTTTAGTATGCCCTTCCCGGGAATATACTTTTTTAGTCTATAATGGGAATTGTCTATTGGTCCCCATTATCTATTTGTGTTTCTCTAAATAAAGAGCTAGAGTTTTTGTTTCTCTAAATAAAGATAAAGAGCTAGAGGGGGGACGAAAATTTATGATCTTGTTTTGCCTGTTGGGGGGGGCTTTGAAAATTTTACTTATCTTAAGAGGGGGGCAACGAAAAAATATTATAACTGTAGAGTTTCTCCTCAGTCTCCCCCTGTACAATAAATAATGAGCAGTCCCTAAGCATGATGAAACCTATTTGTCGACAACACAATAATTCCCCCTGTATTGGTATTTGGCTAATGTAATATGAACTGTAAGGGAACCAAGACTCATTGCTCTGGGCAAAATTTAGTATGGAAGAAAATGTGTAATATTATGGCCGAGATAAATTTAGTGTGGAGCAAATATTCTACTTGTTGTACATGACAATACTTTAACTGGAGTGTGTCAGAGTAAAATTAAGATGGTTCATTAAAAGACAAATTGGTACTTGTTAAACCAAATGAATACAAATTTTCTTATTCATGTCGTGTAGGAGGGTATCAGAAATCTGTTTCTGGCAGTTGGGGAGGTTCAGTCGTGCAAAATTTTACCACCTAAAGATCCAAGCAATGATACCAAATATGGGTAGGTATTGCACTTGAAACTATATATTTTTATTTACCACAAAACGTGAATCAAAGTTCTTGAAATTCTTAAACTTGAGAACAAATTATAAATCGACAAATTTCAATATTTTTTTAATAAACTTGTTTCAGCTTTGTGAAATTTTGTTTGTGGAGAGAAGCCATAAAAGCGATTGAGACCTTTGATGGATTCTATGTTGGCAGTGAAAAGAATCTGCAGGTTCGAGTTGCTCACAGGAGACGAGGTGGTGATGATTATTTTGCAATGAAAGATGATGAATACAGTTCATCTGACGGAACTTCCCAAAATACTCCAACGAATAGGCATCCACCTTTTAATGACTATAACTTGTAAGTATGCAATTATGATATAATCTTGAACAGGAAGTGCCAATGAAAAGAAAGCTTTGGATTGATAGGGATACAACGTCCTTGTATTTTTCAAGCAGTTGGCAATTACCCTATCAATCCAAAGCAATATAATGATATTTGTTGCTTGGTACGATTGTGAATAGATGCTACTCCTTGCAGGTCAATCACCAAAAAGGTGGATTTCTTATCATATTGACTGCATTTGTATCTTTTTCAAGTGATGATGAAGCCACCAGTGACCAAAATCTTGGCATATCACAAGATCGTCCAGCGGAAGTGAACCATTCTCAACAACACCCCATGAAAGTAAACAACATAAACAGTGATCAACATTTGAACATGTTGTCAGGAAATCTTGGCAACAGTGAACAAACTGGGAGTGTGAAGTTACCAAATGAGACCAGCCATGTATCACCAGGTAGGTGCAGTATGTATGCATGTAGAGTATTTATTCTCTAGTGAATGGGAATTACCACCATATATCAGTGTCTTTGAGTTTATTATTTGTTATTTTTTGTGAGAAACTGCCAACTGTATCTCTTATGGTTAGCTACAGGCTGCGGGATGAAATTTTACAAGCTGAAATGCGACGCAAAACTTTTTTAGTCTTCTTGCCCAGCATTGTGTTGAATGGAAAAATTTCATGCATTGCCTAAAAAGTAGAAAAGTTTCAATGGGAAACTTTTCAGATATGACATAATATTTCACTTACATTTGTTAATTAATGAATGTTCATATAAAATTTTATATAAATTATTAAAATATGTAAAACTCAAATTTAAACCATAGTGGCTTGGTTTTAATGTTAAATCTAATAATCAAAGTCTGGTTTTGAACTGGGGTGTATTATTTTACTGAGATGATGCTACTGCATTGAGTGGCTCCACATAGTCCACGTTTTTTGAGAGTCGCCCCAGCGTAACTTACAAACCTTTTTGTCAAGACTAAGTTAACTAAATTAAATCTATACTGGATACTGTAGCTCTGCTGTCTAGTTTAAAACTGCACTCCCTAGAAATCCACCTCCTGTTTCTACTTTAACCTATAACCATATCTGTTAAATAAGTATACAATAAAGTCATTCTCGTGTTTCTCCATTATGAAAAATGTGCTGACTAATAAATGCACTTAAATCTTCAATTTCACAGCGCGAGAAAAGTTGCCGTGCACTCGCTGCGAGAAATTGTGCACACAAAGATGTGTTGCGTGTAAGGCACCGTACTGCAGCCGAGAATGTCAGAAGATTGACAGGGCAAGACATAAACTTGTGTGCACCTATCAGAGCAATACCAATACTCCCAAACCTGCTAATTCATCTACACCCGCACCTATCCCAGCTCAAGTACCTGAACGCGAGCCTGACAATGATAGCGACTTTGATTGTATTGACATTTCACTGGATACTACCCACTCCACTCGTAAAGAAATTGCAAAGGATGAGATTAAGAATTCAATACAATCATCTAAGGGAAACATTGTGCTTGATAGTGGCTATACCAGTCAAAAAGAGGATATGAGCATTGCCATACCATGTGAGTCTCATTGTGAAGAAATCAATACTGATACAGGAATGGTAAGTCTGAAATATTCTGAAATGTATCCTCATCTAAATTAGCTTTATTTATTCCAAATGGCTTTATCTAATGCTTCATAGTACAGTACAGTAAATGTACGGTATGATTCTTGGGTTTTTTCATACAATTCAAAGATCTCAAAGTCCTACATTGAAATTTAAAGTCTTTCAAGGATTTCCAAGAACGCTTGGAATTCTGTGTATGCGACAGTAACGCGACCAATGACATTACAATACCCAGCCACTTATACCACATTATATTTTTCAGGTAATACAGTACCTCTTATATGTTTTAGGAAATTCCGCATTCTGATATGCCTGGCGCTCAAACATGGCTTGAGAAAAATTTCTCTGCGTATGTTACTGCTGTATCTTTTGTGAACTCATTTTGGGCTGTTGTTCGAACGCCAGACTATCCTCGTTTTTGTGAACTAACTGCCGAAATGGCCGAAATAAAGGAAGAAAATTTGGAAAAAATGGCTGTGGTTAACGTAGGATCCCCTTGTCTTGTGAGGTATAGTTTGGATAACTGTTGGTACCGCTCCAGGATAACGCAGGGTAATACGGAACAGGTTGAGATAATCTTTGTTGATTATGGGAACAAAGAATGGAAGAATATCCATGATTTATACCAATTACCCCAAGGGTTCGGAGATGTCCCACCGCAAGCTCATCAGTTCTTTCTACGCGGTGTCACCCTGGAATCCAGTTCAGAAATCGATCAACGTATGATCAAATTACTGGACAGTATGATTTCTGGTAAAACCTTGCAAGTTGAGTTAGTGTATTATTCTGCTCCTCGTTGTATCCCTGAAGTGATATTAAGGGAGAATGATGATCGAGAGAGTATTAATCAACGAATGATAAATTATCTGGAACAAGAACTAACATCAAATTTTATTGGTAGTTCTGGCCTGCCTTATCACTCCCATGTTGACAAAAACATGGGTATAAACTGTGTTCCTGTGGATAGTTATGATTCACATGGTGTTTCTGGCAAAGTTCCGATGAGTGGCTATCTTTCAGATAACATTTTAGCCAATGAAGCAGTGACTGCCTATGAATCCTATGATGTCCCTCCCAATGACTCAATGATTGGCAATTTATCTGATAACACCCCAGATCGTAATCCAGTGACTGGGTGTTTATCAGATAATGTTCCTGAAAACAACACCGATTATTTATGTGGTACCATCTCGTATGATAACGGCCCAACGGCTAACGATGCATCAGGTAATACCCCTCCCAACCACTCAATGACAAGCTTTACAACCAGTGACCCTTTACAACCAGTGTCCAACCAAGTTAGTCCAAATCCGAACACTGTTCTCAAAACTCACATGGCTTCGGAAGTTCCTATCGACATTTTGCCGTCTACGGAAACATTTGATATATTTGTATGGCATTTCGTAACTCCCACCTCATTTTGGATTTGGTTTCTGGATTCTGCCAAAGAATTATACAAGCAACTCGCTTCCATGTTGAGTGAGACTTACGAACAGTCTACATATGCAGAGTACCTACCAATCGTTGGCGAACTGATTGCGGCGAAGTTTACTGATGGTGTTTGGTACCGTGCTACGTTGGATTGTATCAATAATGATTGCTCCCTTAAAGTTACTTTTATCGATTTCGGAAACAGTGAAGATGTAAGTCTTCACGATACTAGAAAGATTACAGATACCTTAGCTGCCTTTCCAACACTTGCGACTAAATGTGCATTGTATGGTATGGAAAAGCCAATTCGCAACTGGTCCGCAGAGTGTATTCAGTTTTGTAATGAACTGATGTTGAACAAACGTGGTTCAGCCAGAGTCCAAAGTCAAGTACAAGATTTGTTGGTGCTGAGAGTTGATATAGAGGTTAATGGTGAAATGAAATCCGTTGTTGATGAGATTATCAAGCAAGGGTATCTCATCTCGGAGAATTCTGGTGTCGTACCTGCCAATAGTCCCAATACACCTACGGAACAAACTTCAATGAACAAGGAATCTGCAACTTTTCACTATCAACCTTTTGTTTCTGACAATAAGCGTGTCCTGCCTAGCAATGAACCTGTTTTACCTGACAACAAACCTGTTTCCCCTTTCAACCAACCCGTTATAGCTTCCAGTCATCCTCTTTCTCCCAGTTACAAACCTGAGTTCCCCCACGACATGAAACCAGCATTACCTCACCACCAAACTACTTTACAGGAAAGAAAACCTGCTATACCTAGCAATCAGCCTCCTGACAAATACCCTAGACCTGAAGACAACTCTGTTTCATCTGACAACAAACCTACTACATTTGGCAACAGACCTTGCACTAAACCTGCTTCACCTACCAGCCAAGCTGTTTTTCGGAACAACAAGCCTGTTTTACCTGACAACAAACCTGTTTTACCTGTAAGCAAACCTGTTGAATTCAGCAATCAGCTTGTTAACCCAAATAGAAATCCTGCTTTTAAGCCTGTGATTTCTGACAGTAGCCCTGTTTTATCTACCAGCCAACCTGTTTCATCAAGCTGCAAACCGCTTTTACTCCACAACAAACCTGATGCACTTTTCAAACCACCTGTTTATTCTGGCAATAAGATCACTTCTCCTGCCAATAATAGCAGTACGCAACTTGTTTCACCAAATATCCAGCCTGTTTCGGCTGAGTACAAAACAAATAAGGTTTACAACGTAGAAAGTCAACCGAACACGAAGCCTGCACGGTCAAGTTCAACAACTAATCAGGAATCTAGTCTGCAGTCTGCCGCAACAAGTCCGCAATTATCTCAAATTTCTCTAAACAGTGTTCCTACTGGGCAGAAAATGGAGGCAAATTGTAAGACAATGCTTCCATTACCTACCGTGCCGAATACTGAATTCAATGTCATTGTGAATGATGTTTTATCCGCAGATATGTTTTACGCTCAAATTACCTGTGCGAACTTAGTCAGTGAATTGCACAAATGTGTGGTAGAATTAAACGAGTATGTGACGAAGAAACATCCACCGAAAATCGAAAATGCTGCGGTCGGCACCCTTGGTTGTGTCAAGTTTTCCCGGGATAAAGTGTGGTATCGCGCTCAGGTCGTAAAAATCAATTATGGGAATTATAAAGTTCGCTTTATTGACTTTGGCAATATTCAGGATGTAAGTCCGGACGAGTTTCTGGAAGCCCCAGAGTTCTTTTACCAGTTAGCTCCACAAGCTTTATGCTGTCGACTGGGTGCGAGTGATCACGTCTGGGGAGAGCAGAGCAAAAATATGATGGAAGGGTTGACATTAAATAAACAACTGTCGTGTAAAGTGATTGGTGGAACGTCTTGGCCTCGATTTGCCGTGAAATTACAGAGGACTGTTGGTGACCAAATAATGGATATAGCAGAAGAACTGAATAAAGGTAACATTGACCTCATAAACACAATCGAAGAATAACATTTTGGATGTAAAGTAATATATACAGGGTGTATAAAAAATGTGTTGACCTACATTTATTGCAGATTACAAACACGGAATTATTTACTTAAGCTTGGAAGAAGATGAGCACCAATTTATGGTTTGTCTTTGTCCATGTTTTTTAACCAAAGTTTCGCTCTTTATTTTTATAGGTATGACCCCTCGTCGTCCAGTGCGGACCTCGCCTTTTCCTTCGAACACGTCTTCCTCCCGTGCTCCTTCCCATCGTTCTGCAAGCAGTAAACGTCAAAGCAACACATTCTCCGATCAAGTTCTCAATCCCGCCATTTTCAGGTCCGGCATTGGAAAGGTGGGGGAAAAGTATGCGGTTAGTATCTCAACAATTTTCCACCCGACATACTTCTGGGTACAACCTGCTGAAAATGTAGAAAATGTCAAACGCTTGCACGAGGAACTAAACAGTCATCACAATAACAACAGCTATCCTCCTTTTAAACCTCTCGTGAACTCGCTATGTGTGTACTACGATGCATATAAACGTCAATGGTATAGAGCGTTTGTGAGACAGGTAACTTCAAAGGGCCTTGTAGTCCACTCCGTTGATTTTGGCTACCAATCGCTGGTAGACGAGAAACTTATCCGTCCATTAGAAGAAAAGTTTTGTAGCCAGCCGTTTGGAGCAATATTGTGTTCCATGGTGGATGTGTTACCATATGACGGGAAGCTGTGGACGGCCGAAGCCACGAAGTATTTTCGCAGTAAAGTGAAGTCGAAAGTTGTAACGATTCGTGTTATTTTCAACAGCAAAGCACGGCTGTTTGTTCAGGTGTTCGACCCTGACTCCAGCGACGAGTGCTTGCTCGAGACAGCGCTCATTGCTAATGGCATGGCGAAGAAATTCCAACGTAAATCTACCCGGAGTGAACCAATCTCATGCGTCGATCAGATGCTAGATGTGCCGAACATGCCAACTGCTGAATTATCTTTGAGTGATGACAGGAACATCGGTCTGCAAATTTCAAGTCAAGACCAATCCGGGCAAGACTACTCGTTGCAAAATCAAAGTTCAGCCCGTTCAGTCCATCAAGATAATGCAAATCGAACAGATAGCAATAGAGCTCAAGGTTACATTGGCAATGTACGAAGTCGTCCAGGGAGTTGATGATGTCGGTTGCATGTACGTGTTTACGACAAGTCAAAGAAAGTGTTGGGTTAATAGTATAGGATTTTGTTCTGTTGTGTTTTGTTGAATGGGTCGACCAGAAACGTTCATCAAACTGGCCAATATTATTCACTAATTCATTTTGTAAATGACATGTCCGTTTCCTGTCTTTCCAACGCTATGGCCTTGGTCAAACTTCGCTCTTTTCATGCACCGGACCTAATACATTTCGATACGATACCGGTTGGAGCAGTGTCAAATCAAACGTCGAACACAATAGATAGCTTAAGATCTACGACGTCGACTTCAGCTAGGACGTCAGGGCTAACCAAAGGACTGGGACTAGGACGTCGTCCTAAATAAATAAACTTCCACTGAAGATTCACGACGTAGATATTTAAATTATAAATATTTACATCCTTTTGAAAATGAATTTAAAAGAGCCGTGTGAAACCATTACCGCTTGTTATGCTCTTGTATCCACGACGGTAAAACTCTTGTTGTGAGGTTGTTGACATATGGTGGACGACGAGCAAATTGAGAGAGACACATGCACACTTCAAACACTATTACCAATTTACTTCCGCTTGCCGCCCTAAATATTTGACGTCGTAGATACTTGAGCTATCGACTTATTTAGGACGACGTCCTAGTCCCAGTCCTCTGCTTAACCCTGACGTCCTAGCTGACGTCGACGTCGTAGATCTTAAGCTATCTAATATCTCGCTACCAATGTGAATCATGGATTAACATGAACATATAAAATCCATGAAAATAAATGAACAAGCTTTCATTGGCAACTAACTGTAAATATATAAGTAAAATTTCGACGTTTCGGGCGAAGGCCCTTCGTCTTTATTAGGTTCGGCGTGTGAGAAGAGGGACGTTTGAAATGTAGTCGCATAGTGCGACACGATCTGTCACTCGAACGTCGCTCCAAATGCCTCTGTCGCACCTGATCCATTCGAACTTAACCTAATCAAACGTCGCTCTTGTGTAGCACTTACTACAGCTATTAGGTTTGGCGCATAAAAAGAACGACGTTTGACCCGGGCCATCCTTGGTGCAGAACACATCAATGCTTGGAATCAGGTTTTTCCTCTTGGAAACGAAGTTGGGATATAGCCAGATATAATATAAAACAAGTGGCAAACTTTTATCCTGTCCTTAAATTAACTGAAGTCATATTAGTAGAAGACAGAAACAGGCTTTAAGTTTAAAAGCTCAGTGTCACCTGTTGAGCGATGTTATTTAGGGCTAAATAACATGTTATTTCTTTTTTCACTATTATTGATCTTTGGATATTTGGGGCCTATTTCGGCATATAGGCCTTACTGCCCCCTAGTAGAAAAATTCTGCGTACGGCCCTGGGACCATGTACGCATGCTCAGCAATAAATGTAAGTAACATCGCTCAACAGGTGACACTGACCATTTAAAACTGAGGTCTCAATCACGAAAACGAGGCTCTTTAGGCAATCCAATGTAAGGAAGGTCTATTACAGAACTACACCCTAAAAGCACTCTGCTTAAAATTTCCTAATTAACCTGGCACTATCTGGGTTAAGTTTCGTGGTTATTTTATCGTCTAATACAGAATAGTGTTGGGAAAGCACTAAGAACAGCTAACCAAGGCCGTCTTCATTGCCAACTTTTCGTGCACTCTATTAATCTTGGTTTGATCCTGGCTTAAACCTTGCTTAATTAAGTTCGCTATTAGTATTGATTGTTGATATTGTACATCCATGTTTCCTTTGTCAATAACTAGGGGGGGGGCTCGTAAAACTCATTCTTTAATGGCTTTTTCGTTATATCCCCTCCTTAATAAAGTCACCTCATTTACACATAATACCGCAAACACACATTTTGATTGGCTTAGAGACCAATTTGTGACATTCCAATGAGTACTCGCGGTACCCAGAAAAGGTTGTGCATCAGAACATGCAGTGTTAGTTATTCTCGCTGAATGTGGTAGGCCAAGCTTCTTCGAGCAGAAGTGTGAAAAATATTTAAGACAAAAAGACGAAAAGGGACGTAATGGCAATGAAATTTCAAGTTTTGCTCTGCGTGTTTGCATTACTCCAGCTGTCTGTCGGTAAGTAAAAATTGTATCAATTTGTAATGAAGTAATTAAGTTTTATGTTAACATTTTCCTCAACAAGTGGCGTGCGAAGGCATTCAATAAGTCGACATACGTGTGCAATAACAGTTCCCTCCCTTTTTGGCGCATTTTTGCCAGTTCTATCGCCACTACAGCACTTCTCTCCTTTTACCAAGAGAAGTTTTCCCCTTCCGGTTTGCTATAATCTGGAAGTCCAAAAACCGGGCTGCGGTGGCGACCACCTCGTACACATAGCCATCGTTGATTCTGGGTATACGAGATTGCGAGATCACGCCAAAAACCCGAAGTGCCTGGTTTAACCAGAGTCGCACGTCGGGTCTTTAAAATTGAAGCCATTTGAGTGTGGGTATATAGGCAGTAGACTAGGCGAACTTTTGAAGTCGAAGCGAGGGAACTGCGATTAAATTGTCTAACCTTTATATCCCTTTAACTGGTATTTATAACTTATATACTGTATCCACACGTGCATATTTGTTTTACATGTCGTTTCTTCCCTCTAGAGGCGCAATATCTGAATGAGGTGGAACAGAGTCCCGAACGAGAGAAGAATGTCCAGGAGGGATGTAAGTGAAATATTTCATTTTATGCACCATGCACATAATGGCTATGCTGTCGTCCTAATTATTTACTATTAAAAGTTTGCGCATGCACTGTGTCTGGTACGGAGATCGTCTCCCGCGCACGACTAGAACAGCACGCCACTGGAACAGCACAAATAGAAAAGCATGCAACACGACTTGCAAGCAGTTATTTGACTGGACTGAGATACTCAGTGTAACATCAGCAAAAAATTAAACCCCTGACTTCAACACAAGTTCCACCACAACAACCACCAGACGTTCTATCGTTCAGGTTAAGAGAGTGTTCAATGGTACGTTAGTATTCATGTTTACTTTTGATCCGGTTTCCTATTTTCATCACAGCTTGCCAGTGGGGAGTCAATGTCTGGTACAAGCCTGGAATGTCGGTGCGATGTAATTGTATGAAATGGTAAGTATCTTGTCAAAGTTTCCGCATGTCTATTCTATCTCTCAGACGTAGGTTCCGCCTTCATTCCGCTTCATTTGTGTTTAAAATGACTGCATTCCAACATGCCGTAGCCCGTAAGAAACGATGACGGAGTACTTTTTCAAGGCAAAGAATTGGAAATCGTATAGAAAATAATATTGCATTGTAATTTCAATATATCTTTTGTTTTTGTCAAGACTGTAACTGTAAGAAGTAATATATATTTCAGTATCAGTTTCTCAGATCATTCCATACTAATAGTCGCATCGAGAATTACCATCGTGTGCACCATTCATTTGCCCATTGTACCTTCCTTAAATAACGACCAGGATCTCATTCTTACCTCTGAGGGTTAGTAGGTAAATGCCATGATAAATGGGAACTATTTTATTTTAATTTCCTTTTAATTAAATTTAGTTCACGCTTATAGAGATTATCTTCTTTTTATCTTTTCTTGTGCCTGTTGCACACATGCATGTGATGCAGTGAGATGCTTTTGCTGAACTAGCAAAGTTGTCATTCGTGTATCAGATACAGCTATTTCAATTCAGGTTGTCCCCAAGCAAGCGGAAAAGTCGAATACGAGCGCGAAAGGCTTGCTAGGAATCGCCAAAAAATTAAAATACTACGGCCAATACAAGAAGAGTCAATTTAAATGATGTTATATGTTATATTTGTGTAGTACTTGCGCCGGGCGAGGAAAATGGAATTGTGCATATGCGTTTGAATATTGTCCGTACTATTGTAAGTAATTTACACTTTAGAGGCACGTTGGAGTGGGGTTAATGGGACACTTCCAGTTCTATACTTCTAGTCTAATTGGTACATATGTCAAATATGCAATTTATGCAACGCAATAAATTGTGGTTAATGAAGTAATATGTCAAAGAAGACTCTATTTGCCTTATGGAAATGCCAATCTGTCATCAAAACTACTGCACTTGGAAAACAAGGCAGATTGAACCTTGGCAACAGCACGTGAACACGTCATGCACTTGGGTTTAATCAATCAACTCTTCTTAAATATATCCGTCGCAACAATACAATGGCCCCATTCTTAGTGAAAGACATTTAGTTACAGGCTATATGCTTCACGCCTCATTCGCAATATTCTAACCAGAGCGTAAGCTACCAAAACCTGGTATACAAAAAAACCCACCCACCACCCCAGAGCCGAACCTGCCTGCTTATACAATCTATAGATCGACATGCTTTCGATCTATACAATCCAATTCAGCCTAATTGCTTAATTATTTATGTAAATATATAACTTATACATCTGTACCAGAATTGCAGAATGAAATAAATAAATAATGGCAGGGAAGTGCCGTCCTTTTGGACAACACTTCGCCACGTGAAGTGTATTTTTACAGGTCATTCAGGTCGCAGTGCGACCTAATGACCTGACCTAGAGACTCGATGGGTAAGTCATTTCAGTTGAGTTACCATCAGTTGTTCACCAGTTCAACTAGTACTCAACATCAACGAGCTGACTGACCTGAACGGGGGTTCGCCTGTTCCCCTGTTATCTAGAGGTTCACCTTTTCCTCTATGAAAAACCTACAGTTTTTGCATGCTCTGTCAGGTCTTGAGTACCCATACTGTCTCAGTATACCAGTGGTGGTCCCCAGACCATCAGGACTCATATGTCGCTGAACAACATGCACAGAGCCGCGTCACTCCCTCTGCAATCTAGAGGTCCGCCTGTTCCTCTAGGTAAAACGTAGGTTAGCGAGAGCCTCTAGACCGTTCGAGCACTTCCTTGCCCATAATATATGCCACAAAAACCTGTCTGCTGTGTGTTTTTGTTTTCTGGTTTCTTGGTTTTTTTTCAAACTGCGGTTTGGATGCCAGTTATTTCAACATATTAAACTTCATTAACATGTGTTTATTAGTTAACTGTGCATGTGTTTTATAGTATATGTTTAAGTAAGAGTTATATACTTTTATATCGTACCATTTTTTAAACCTACAGAAGATGGAGTTGTGCCCGAAATGTTGTAATTTAATAATACTTATTTGCTAAGCCTGTGGTCTGATTCACTGACACACTTTATTAATTATGAAATTATTGCACTATTGTGATATAAAGCACTTCAGTGAAAAGCAAGCTTAAAAACGACGGTCTAACTTATCGTATTTTAAACTTCCTATAGCTTGTGGCGGGGTACAGTACAATCCTAGTACGGAAATCTGCTGCTGTGGCAAAGTGTATGCAAAGAAAAGCAAGTATTCCTGCTGTGGCTATTTCTACTACAACACTCGAACCTCCAAATGTTGCAACTACTACACAGTTTTACCGAAGGCTGCTAACTGCCCAAGATTCCAAATCTAAGTTTGCCTCGACTATCTTCATGGATGGAATGATCTCAGTTTGGGACCGCTGAAAGGAACATTAAAAAAACTATTTTGTGTTATCAATAGTTCAACATTGCACTTAATAAATTCCAGCAAAATATCAAACTGAATGTGGTTATAGGGTAAATACCTGGGTGACTGGGTCATTTTGGGTTTTTTCGTCTTTCCTCTTATGGCCCGAAAGCCAAGAGAGGTTTAGTTAAACCTCTTGAGGGGGACACTCATAGTCATCGCATCTTGCGAAAGAAAGGATTTTCGAGGTTGGCTATGATATTCTACCCTAAAGATCTAAAGCGAATCTATCCTAAAGATCTCTAAGTAATTTACACAGTTATAAACGTTATACGAAAAACACAAACAGGAAAACGACCAGGAACACTAACACTAACATAACGTTAGTCAATTACGTTAGCGACCAGTTGTAATGACCCCCTCGATGAGCTCTAAGCTCTTGGGGTAAATGTTTCTAAATATTGTTTAAATAAAAAATCAAATACAACTAAAAGACATTGTAGAAACATGCATGAAACGAGATTGCAACTTAGTTTATCCTATATCAAGTAGAGAGCGCATGAATTACAGTCCGTAATCACGGCCGTAGTGACTAGGGTCATGGATTACTAGTTGGATCGCTAGTCCTGTAGTCCATACTTTTACGCAGCGGAATTTTTAGTTTCGCTATAACAAACCACATTGCCGAATATTTTTTCCGCTTCGCGCGAGCAAATTTACCTAGTGGTAAATGGGCTAATTTCTAGGCTTACGAGTTATGGGCTCGTTTCGCTCTTTGTACGCCATTTATGATATAGATTTTTAGCTTAATCACAGCTTTAATTGCCAGTGAACGAGCGCGCGTGGAATGTGAACGCACGCAGGAATAATCATGGCCCCAATCATGCACGTAATGATGAAGCTGATCAAGATTAGCATTCGTTATAAACCGTGAAGTTTCTGTGTAGAGGAAACCGAAACGTCAGACAAAATACTTTGTTAATATGTAATATGCATATTGACTATTGTGCAGGCTTCCTTTGCGTTTACATCAAATAGGGGAAACTCATTCAGCCATTTAATACCCAGTTTAATGGCTTTTTCGTTATATCCCTTACTAATAAATTCACCTCGTTTACACATAATACCGCAAACACACATTTTGATTGGCTTAGAGACCAATTTGTGACATTCCAATGAGTACTCGCGGTACCCAGAAAAGGTTGTGCATCAGAACATGCAGTGTTAGTTATTCTCGCTGAATGTGGTAGGTCAAGCTTCTTCGAGCAGAAGTGTGAAAAATATTTGAGTCAAAAAGACGAAAAGGGAAGTAATGGCAATGAAATTTCAAGTTTTGCTCTGCGTGTTTGCATTATTCCAGCTGTCTGTCGGTAAGTAAAAATTGTATCAATTTGTACTGAAATAATTAAGTTTTATGTTAACCGCATTTTCCTCAACAAGTGGCGTGCGAAGGCATTCAATAAGTCGACATACGTGTGCAATAACAGTTCCCTCCCTTTTTGGCGCATTTCTGCCAGTTCTATCGCCACTACAGCACTTCTCTCCTTTTACCAAGAGAAGTCTGAGAAGATTTCCCCTTCCGGTTTGCTATAATCTGGAAGTCCAAAAATCTGAGGGCCGCGGTGGCGACAATCTTGTACACATAGCCATCGTTTGCTCTGGGTATACGAGATTGCGGTGGAGAGAGGTCAGTACCAGTGGGCTAAACAGATCACGTCAAAAACCCAAAGTGCCTGTTAACCAGAGTCGCACGTCGGGTCTTTAAAATTGAAGCCATTTGAGTGTGGGTATAGGCAGTAGACTAGGCGAACTTTTGAAGTCAAAGCGAGGGAACTGCGATTAAATTGTCTAACCTTGATATCCCTTTACCTGATATTTATAACTTATATCCACATGTGCATATTTATTTTACATGTTGTTTCTTCCCTCTAGGCCTCTCCATGGAAAGTCTGAATGAGGTGGAACAGAGTCCTGAACGAGAGAAGAAGAATGTCCCGGAAGGCTGTAAGTGAAATCTTTCATTTTATGCCCCATGCACATGGTGGCTGTCGTCTTCACTAAGGACTTTAAGATACTGACTATACACCACAGAATACAGTTAGACGTTTGCGCATGCACTGTGTCGGGTACGGTGATCGTCTCCCGCGCGCGACTAGAACAGCACGACTGACTAGGACAGCACGCCACGGCTGGAACAGCACGACTAGAAAAGCATGCAACACGATTTGACCAGCACTACTGCAGTTACGGTTGGAAAGGTTTTGTAGTCCTTATACAGGGTGTCTCAAAAAAACCCAAAATCATTGAAATTGACGTATTGTTCGATATTCAATGCCCTAGCACTAAGTTAATCCCACGAGTGCATAAAAGATTGACATAACTGCTATAATGAATGGTAATACTCAGCGTAAACTTGTTATGTCAGGCATAAAGTACTAAACCCACGAATGCATATTACGCATATTACAATTTACGAAGCATTTTTAAATTCCCATGAGCAAACAAACGTTCACTTTACAAAGATATTTTAAAACAACCCAAAATCATTGAAATAACGTATTGTTCGAATTTCAATGCCGTAACACAAAGGATTTTGACAGGGTGATTAATTTGTTTTAAAAAATTAAAATATCTTTGTAAAGTGAACGTTTGTTTGCTCATGGGAATTTAAAAATGCTTCGTAAATTGTAATATGCGTAATATGCATTCGTGGGTTTGGTACTTTATGCCTGACATAACAAGTTTACGCTGAGTATTACCATTCATTATAGCAGTTATGTCAATCTTTTATGCACTCGTGGGATTAACTTAGTGCTAGGGCATTGAATATCGAACAATACGTCAATTTCAATGATTTTGGGTTTTTTTGAGACACCCTGTAGTACAAGTCAGAAGTCCCATTACCTTTGACTTGCAAGAATTATTCGACCGGCGATACTCAGAGTAACATCAGCAAAAAATTAAACCCCTGAGTTCAACACGAGTTTCACCACAACCACCAGACGTTCTATCGTTCATGTTAAGAGAGTGTTCAATGGTTAGAATTCATGTTTACTTTTGATCCGGTTTCCTATTTTCATCACAGCTTGCCAGTCTCATCCCAAACTCTGGCACAAGCCTGGAACGTCGGTGCGATGTAGTTGTATGAAATGGTAAGTATCTTCTCAAAGTTTCCGCATGGACATTCTATCTCTGAGACACAGGTTCCGCCTTCATTCCGCCTCATTTATATTTAAACCGATGATTGCATTCCAACAAGCCGTAGCCGTAGGTAGTCTAATACGATGACAGAGTACTTTTGCAAAGAATTGGAAATCGTATAGACAATAATATTGCATTGGAATTTCAATATATCTTTTGTTTCTATCAAGACTGTAAGAAGAAGTAATATATATTTCAGTATCAGTTTCTCAAATCATTCCATGCTAATAGTCACATCGAGAGTTACCATCGTGTGTACCATTCATTTGCCCATTGTACAAAGCTTAAATAACGATCACGATCTCATTCTTACCTTAGAGGGTTAATAGACTTAATAGGTAAATGCAAAGATAAATCAGGGGAACTATTTTATTTTAATTTCCTTTTAATTAATTAAATTTAGTTCACGCTTATAATTAGAGGTTATCTTCTTTTTATTTTTCCTTGTGCCTGTTGCACACATGTGTTGCAGTGAGATGCTTTTGCTGAACTAGCAAAGCTCAGTCATACGTGTAAATACTACGGCCAATACAAAAAGAGTGAACTTATGTGAATGTTATATGTTATATTTGTGTAGTACTTGCGCCGGGGGAAAATGGAATTGTGCATATGCGTTTGAATATTGTCCATACTACAGTAAGTAATTGACACTTTAGAGGCACCTTGGAGTGGGGGGTTAATGGAGACGGTTCTAAGTGAGTATTTTTGCACAAGTGAACATAACAAATCCTACACGTTGATTGGTCAAATTTGACGTAATAAGCTGTATATTCACCTACAGGTGAATATAACAAAAAACGGAAATTTTCAAAATGGCGGCTACCCGTTTTGTGGAAGTTTACTGACAAAGAAATAAGCGAAATTAAAATAAATTCAGTCTCAAGAAACACAAAAGCTTGTGTAAAAATACTAAAACAATTATTCGCCTCTGGCTCGGTGATTATCGGGGAATATTCACCTCGTCTTCGTCTCGGCGAATATTCCCCGATAAGCACCTCGCCTTCGGCGAATAATTGTTACATATTGACCCGAGGGGCCGCAGGGCCCGAGGGCAAATATATGACTCGTATCCCAAGTTCGAGGTTTATAACCGACTTATTTTCTAGTTGAGAAAGTTTTCGAACAAGATTCCATTAATTTCAAAGACTATCCATAAAGATTTTTCGAGTTTTGTCGACAAATTTAATCTAATTATTTATTCACGGGTTATAACCTGTATTCATCACGCGGTACATCAAAGAAAACCGACTCAACTAGAAAATCACAACAATTATATACTTTTATATCGTTTTTAAACCTACAAAAAGGTGGAGTCGTACTCGAAATGTTGTAATTTAATAAAATGATTATTTTCTAAGCCTGTGGTCTGATTTACTGACACGCTTTATTAATTATGAAATCATTGCATTATTTGTGATAAGCACTTTAGTGAAAAGCAAGCTTAAAAACGACGGTCTAACTTATCGTATTTTAAACTTTCTGTAGCTTGTGGCAGCGTACAGTACTCTCCAAATACCGAACTCTGCTGCTGTGGCAAAGTGTATACAAAGAAAAGCAACTATTTCTGCTGTGGCTATTCCTACTACGACACTCGAACCTCCAAATGCTGCAACTACTACACAGTTTTACCGAAGGCTTCTAACTGCCCAAGATTCAAAATCTAAGTTTGCCTCGACTATCTTCATGGGTGGAATGATCTTTTTCGGACCGCTGAAGGGGGAACATTAAAAAATTCTTTTGAGTTATCAATAGTTCAACATTGTACTTTAATTATATCAATATCAAACTGAATGTCTATTTTATTAATTGGATATAAATAAATGTGTAAAATCCAACATTCTTCTTTTATTGTGTCTAGGTTTACTGCACTCTATTTCAGTGTAGGTTGGAATGGTTAGGGTGAATATCTGGGTTACATTTAACTCATTTTGGATTTTTTCGTCTTTCCTCTTGTGCCCGAAAGCCGAGAGAGGCTTAGTTAAACCTCTCGTGGCTTGAGGGACATTTCATCACTAACCGACGGCCGTGATGCCATGCTATCACTTTGTAATATCATAGCTACTGAGACAATAAAACGGTTTCATTCGATTGAATAAGTTGAAATGAAAAGGCGCGTTTGCTTTTTGATACTAATGACTATTGTCTTATTGGGATGCTCGTTAATGAGGTTACGGTTGATTTTTCATGTCTGTTAAATATGTAATATGTATGCATAAAGCCGGTTTTCCACTAGGCGGAATTTTGCGCGCGGAGCGGAATTTTTCTTTGTCTTTTCTAATTAGTTCCACCTGAGGAATCACAAGACAAAGAAAAATTCCGCTCCGCGCGCAAAATTCCGCCTAGTGGAAAACCGGCTTAAGAGGTTAATATGCATAAAGACCTTCTAAGCATTTCGGATTAGAATTCAGCCTTTTTTGAGCACTTGCTGTTTGGCCGCCATATTGGTGTACCAAATTGCACAGAATTTGTAAGACAAACTGCTATATAAATACCCAATATAAGTATAGGTCATAAACATACGCCCTCTTCACCCTTACTTTTCATGCCAATAAGGAGCTGTTCGTGTTAGCCCGGCTGGCTGGGATGAAATCTCGATTGAAATCAAACTAAGCTAATTCAACCTTGAAATGTTATTTTGGATGTTTATCAAAAGTCGTGTTAAGAGCTTTATTGACCGGGCCAGCCCAGCTCCATATGAACAGCCCCGATGTATAAGAACCACTCCAGTCCATGGTTTCTTCATGAGGTCTGCATGTTACTTCATGTATCACAGCATGCTCAGGGCCGTAGCGAAGAGGCCAAGGTTGGGGGGTGTAGTATCGCATTTTCAGACAACATTTCAGTCGCTAAGTTATTAATATTTCTTTTCCCAAAATTGTTGGCGGGAGGGGGAGGGAGGTAAAACATTTTCCACACATACCATTTTTCACTAACCCCCAACTAATGTACCGTCATTTCTTAAATTTTTCGGTAATTGATTTTCGTAAATTTATCAAAATTTCGGCTAGTGCAATTTTCTAAAATTTGGGTGTGCCGCCCCCCCCAATAGCCCCCCACGCTACGGCCCTGAGCGTGCTGTTCCACCATAAGCTGCGACGTAAATTATACCATGCAGGGGAAAACCGAAGCGTATTTCCGCTGTTCTTAGTTTTCACCATAGCGGCCGTGTTGGAGGAACACCATCTATCTCGAATCTCATTTATAACAGCTATTGTATTTGAAGCGTGTTTTCCTCCAACATACATGCATGGCCGCCATATCTTTGTCGTATATATCTCAAGGGATTGTTTTTGTAATGTATTTGTAGTACTTATAATGTTGTTCCGATACAACTGCATGTGCATAAAATTAAATAGGGGAAACGCATTGAAACAATCTGTCTGTGTATGAAATTAAATATATAGGGGAAACGCATTCAAATAATCTGTCTGTACATGAAATTAAATATATAGAGGGGAAACGACAATGCACTTGAAATAAATTGTCCAAGGACAAGAACCACAACACTTCTTACGCATATTCAAAGGGAAAATGATCATGAAGCGTGGCAGGCGATCAAAGGTCGGGCCTTTGTATAAAGTGCGCGGAACTAACGAATGGAATGCACGCTGTTTACAAGTGGATTTGACCGCGACGTTTTGCATAAAATTAAATAGGAGAGCGTTTCCCCTATTCAACTATTGCCGACCTGATATTTTCATGCTTTCCTTGCGTTTAATTTCCGCTTTAATTTACATACAATGCAACGCCCAAAACTGACTTGATTGGCTGATTCGAATAGTGTTAGTTATTGTCGCTGATCGTGGTGGCTGGAACACTGAACAAGATCGAAGAAGAAGAATCGGGGGGACGCAAATGAAATTTCGAGCTTCGTTTTGCTTTGCGCTTGGGATTTTCCTAACCACGACTAACGGTAAGTCAAAAGTATGTTCATCTTTCATGATTCGTATTTGTTCCTAAAATGCTTCAGTATTATGCCATGACTGAAGATATGACATTAGTGTCCCACCAATTTTGAAATTGTCTGTGTTAAATGTCAATGGCATTCGTGTCCTCCGTTGTTCAGCCTTAATTGTAGATAAAATATGTCGCAAACACTGATTACTTTTGAAGTTTTGGCGTTTACGGAAGCCAATCACAAAACATGTTCATTTTATGTACTCGTGTTTACTGCATACATGCGTGTCGTAAAATTCTGCAGAATTTGCGCCAACGGAATAGTCAAAATTAGAGATCCACAATGGACTTTAGTACTTATAGTTTTTATATTCGTTAGAAATTTACTATGGATTCATATTTATTTTGCACTCTGCGATGCTTTTCATTTGCAGGTTTCGCCATAGAAAAGTCTGATGCCGCTACGGAATTTGAATCGGTGACTGTGGTAACACAAAGTGATATTCGTGAAGAAGAACAGAAGAAAATCCAGGCTGGCTGTACGTTGAATCCAAGTCGGCGTCTTCAGTTATGCACGCTATTCAGGCTCCTTCATTGCGAAGGCGTTGAGGGGTTGAAGTGTTGAGCTTGTCGAGATGTAAATTTCGAATCCAAAAATGAGGAGTGATTGGAATGCATGAACGCCGTAATCACAAAAGGGCTGGGAGACAGCTTCTCGTGAAGAGTACTTTCATTAATATATTAATAACTTTCTAAATCTTAGCAGAAGTCTTGCAGGAAAATCAAGTCCTACATTCTATACTAGTATTTGCTCGTGTGTGTAGGCTATATATACGTATATGCTGTTGCCCTGAATCAAAAGGACACCTCTGTCTCTTGCCCTTTGTTGGCAATAAGCAAGAGGTGCAGGCACTCCTTCTACTTTTCACTTCTGCTCTCCATGCATGAGATTTGCAGTCTGAGCAATGAGTTCCGATGGATTTGAGGCGAAGTCCATCGGGCAACCCCCAATAACCACACCCTAGGCGTTTGTCCCTCGCCCATTCAGTAATAGCTTTTTAGCTTGACTCACATTTATACACATAGTAGCTTTATGCATATATTACCCTAATTACCCCTGGTAATTCTATACTGTAGATTGCCATTGGGAGCACAATGTCTGGCACAAGCCTGAAGAATCAGTACAGTGCAACTGTTTGAACTGGTTAGTATAGAACTTTTTTCCCTTCCCAATTGGCTGTTCCGGACAGCGGGGTTCTACTTTAGAGTAATACTATACTTGTCTACTATTAGATCTGTGAGTAATACTTGTGTTATATTCTTCATAGTACTTGCGCCGATGAAGGAAAATGGAGTTGTGAATATTCGTTTGAATATTGTCCATACTATTGTAAGTTTAAACGCATGTGACCATTGTAGTGTGATTATATCCTCCTCCGAAGGCTTCAAATAAATTACCTGGGTTATTGAAGCTTGATTTGGAAATTATTTTGCTCGCAACTAAATTCTGCCTGCCCATCTAAGGCAATGCATGCAGGCGGAGTGGGGGGGGGGGGGGGGGGGAGCTAGTGTGATCAGCAATATCGATTTCGATGATTTCGCCCCCATCACGATTCAATGTTGATTGGATGAAACATGTACTTGGGTTATGTGGCTATATCAAATACTGGCAACATTGGAATGGGAGTTACATCAAAGTAAATCCATGATTTAATGGCTACAGAATACATTTTTCTGGTATGAATATTACACTGGGTCTCAACCAGTTTTGTCCAAGATTGTAGCGGTCCGTGTCAAGCCAATTGTTCCATATACTCAGACAGTATTGAGAACTGGGCTGTCGATACTTTACTGGGCCGGGGAGAGCAATTCAATAATAACTAGAAAAACCTAACCGTATATATATTTTTAACTTTGTACAGATTGTGACAAGGAACTGTACAGTCCAAAGGATGAATTATGCTGCTGTAATAAATTGCATGTCAAGATAACCAATTACGCCTGCTGTGGCTCTTTTTACTACAACCCTCAAACCTCCAAATGTTGTGATGATTACCGTGATTACTCCGTTAAACCAAAGAGTGCTGATTGCTCAAAATCCCGCAGAAATAAATTATTCGGAAGCGAATCTACCCTAAAGATTTCTAAGTAATTTACACAGTTATAAACGTTATACGAAAAACACAAACAGAAAAACGACCAAGAACACTAACACTAACACTAACATAATGTTAGTCAATTAGGTTAGCGACCTGTTGTAAATCAAATACAAAACTTCAAAAACATTGTAGAAAAATGAAACAAGATTGCAACTTAGTTTATCCTATATGAGGTATAGAGAGAGAGCGCATGAATTACACTAGTCCGTAATCACGACCGTAGTGACTAGGGTCATGGATTACTAGTTGGATCGCTAGTCCATACTTTTACGCAGCGGAATTTTCAGTTTCGCTATAACAAACCACATTGCCGAATTTATTTTTTCCGCTTCGCGCGAGCAAATTTACCTATCTATAGTGGTAATTAAACGGGCTAATTTCTAGGCTTACGAGTTATGGGCTCGTTTCGCTCTTTGTACGCCATTTATGATATAGATTCTTAGCTTAATCACAGCTTTAATTGCCAGTGAACGAGCGCGCGTGGAATGTGGACGCACGCAGGAATAATCATGGCCCCAATCATGCACGTAATGATGAAGCTGATCAAGATTAGCATTCGTTATAAACCGTGAAGTTTCTGTGTAGAGGAAACCGAAACGTCAGACAAAATACTTTGTTAATATGTAATATGCATGATAACGCATAATATTGTTGATATTGACTATTGTGCAGGCTTCCTTTGCGTTTACATCAAATAGGGGAAACTCATTCAGCCATTTAATACCCAGTTTAATGGCTTTTTCGTTATATCCCTTACTAATAAATTCACCTCGTTTACACATAATACCGCAAACACACATTTTGATTGGCTTAGAGACCAATTTGTGACATTCCAATGAGTACTCGCGGTACCCAGAAAAGGTTGTGCATCAGAACATGCAGTGTTAGTTATTCTCGCTGAATGTGGTAGGCCAAGCTTCTTCGAGCAGAAGTGTGAAAAATATTTGAGTCAAAAAGACGAAAAGGGAAGTAATGGCAATGAAATTTCAAGTTTTGCTCTGCGCATTTGCGTTACTCCAGCTGTCTGTCGGTAAGTAAAAATTGTATCAATTTCTACTGAAATAATTAAGTTTTATGTTAACATTTTCCTCAACAAGTGGCGTGCGAAGGCATTCAATAAGTCGACATACGTGTGCAATAACAGTTCCCTCCCTTTTTGGCGCATTTCTGCCAGTTCTATCGCCACTACAGCACTTCTCTCCTTTTACCAAGAGAAGTCTGAGAAGATTTCCCCTTCCGGTTTGCTATAATCTGGAAGTCCAAAAATCTGAGGGCCGCGGTGGCGACGATCTTGTATACATAGCCATCGTTTGCTCTGGGTATACGAGATTGCGGTGGAGAGAGGTCAGTACCAGTGGGCTAAACAGATCACGCCAAAAACCCAAAGTGCCTGTTTAACCAGAGTCGCACGTCGGGTCTTTAAAATTGAAGCCATTTGGGTGTGGGTATAGGCAGTAGACTAGGCGAACTTTTGAAGTCAAAGCGAGGGAACTGCGATTAAATTGTCTAACCTTTATATCCCTTTAACTGGTATTTATAACTTATATCCACATGTGCATATTTATTTTACATGTCGTTTCTTCCCTCTAGGGGCGCAAAATCTGAATGAGGTGGAACAGAGTCCTGAACGAGAGAAGAAGAATGTCCAGGATGGCTGTAAGTGAAATATTTCATTTTATGCACCATGGTGGCTGTGCTGTCTTCATTAAGTACCATTAAAGGTTTGCGCATGCACTGTGTCGGGTACGGTGATCCGTGATCGTCTCCCGCGCGCGACTAGAACAGCACGCCACTTGAACAACACGACTAGAAAACCATGCAACACGACTTGCAAGCAGTTATTTGACTGGAGATACTCCGTGTAACATCAGGAAAAAATTAAACCCCTAACTTCAACACGAGTTCCACCACAACCACCAGACGTTCTATCGTTCAGGTTAAGAGAGTGTTCAATGGTACGTTAGTATTCATGTTTACTTTTGATCGGGTTTCCTATTTTCATCGCAGCTTGCCAGTGGGGAGTCAAGGTCTGGTACAAGCCTGGAATATCGGTGCGATGTAATTGTATGAAATGGTAAATATCTCAAAGTTTCCGCATGTCCATTCTATATCTGAGACGCAGGTTCCGCCTTCATTCCGCTTCATTTGTATTTAAAATGACTGCATTCCGACAAGCCGTAGGCGTAGGTAGTCTAATACGATGACAGAGTACTTTTTCAAGGCAAAGAATTGGAAATCATATAGAAAATAATATTGCATTGAAATTTCAATATATCTTTTGTTTTTGTCAAGACTGTAAGAAGTATATATATAATGTATATTTCAATAACCGAGTTTCTCAGATCATTCCATACTAATAGTCACATTGAGAACCATCGTGTGTACTGTACCATTATTCATTTGCCCATTGTACCTTGCTTAAATAACGATCAGGATTTCATTCTTACCCCTGAGGGTTAAATGCAAAGATGAATGGGAACTATTTTATTTTAATTTCTGCTTTGTTAAATTTAGTTCTCGCTTAGAGATTATCATCTTTTCTTGTGCCTGTTGCACACATGCATGTGATACAGTGAGATGCTTTTGCTGAACTAGCAAAGCTGCCATATGTGTATATTTATACTCAAGACCAATCGGCCAGAAGAGTCAACTTAAATTAATGCTATGTTATATTTGTGTAGTACTTGCGCCGAAGGAAAATGGAATTGTGAATATGCGTTTGAATATTGTCCACACTTTTGTAAGTAATTGACACTTTAGAGGCACCTTGGAGTAGGGTTAATGGAGAGGGTTCTAAGTACATTTCTAGTTCTGTGCTTCCAGTCTAATTGGTACATGCATGTGTTTATTAGTTAATTGTGTGTTTTATACTATATGTTTAAGTAAGAGTTATATACTTTTATATCGTGCCATTTTTTAAACCTACAGAAGATTGAGTTGCACTCGAAATGTTGTAATTTAATAAAATAATTATTTGCTGAGCCTGTGCCTCGGTCTGATTTACTGACACGCTTTATTAATTATGAAATCATTGCATTATTTGTGATAAGCACTTTAGTGAAGAGCAAGCTTAAAAACGACGGTCTAGTTATCGTATTTTAAACTTTCTGTAGCTTGTGGTGGCGAACAGTACTCTCCAAATACCGAAGTCTGCTGCTGTGGCAAAGTGTATACAAAGAAAAGCAACTACTCCTGTTGTGGCTATTCCTACTACAACCGTCAAACCTCCAAATGCTGCAACTACTACACAGTTTTACCGAAGGCTGCTAACTGCCCAAGATACCAAATCTAAGTTTGCCTCGACTATCTTCATGGATGGAATGATCTCAGTTTGGGACCACAAGGGAACATTAAAAAAACTCTTTTGAGTTATCAATAGTTCAACACTGCACTTATTTAATTCCAGCAAAATATCAAACTGAATGTCTATTGTATTAATTTGATTTAAATAAATCTGTGAAACCAAACGTTCTCCTAATTTTGGGTTTTCCCGTCTTTTATCTTGTTCCACTAGCTTGACATCAGAAAAACAGTCCAAATTTCTTGAGGGCTTGGTAGTTGGTATTCAGTTCTGCGTTTTGGGGTTAGACACCTTATAATCAGAATTTTTACATATTGTTTGCGAAGCAATTAAGTTTTCAAGGTATGCCACGGTCCACCAGACTTCAGACAGAGGTGCGCAAATCTAATCGGATTTCGTTCGGATTTGGTGCGCAATCACTTGGCAGTTGGCTCTGATAAGCTCTGATACAATGCAAACTCTACTATTGAGCAGAGGATAGATTTTTATCACTATGCTGTTTTGAAGTTTAAAAGGTCGGCTGATCAGAGACAAACCTTTGCGGGTAAAGGGGATCAATTTGATTCACCGCGCATGTCTAGTAAGTTTCATGACTCTTCCAGTTCTACTATTGAGATCAGCGATGGTTACCCGCAACACCTGTCATACCATGAAATCGGGCTGTTGTCAATGATTTTGATATGTCATGTGATTTGCATCAGTCAAGTTTCAACTTCAATTCTTCAAAATTATTGGGGTGTTTGTTCGTTTATTTCGTTTTTATCCATGTTCTGGGAGCTAGAAAAATCCTCTAGTTTATGGCGAATCGTGCCAAAAGTTGGGAAACGTTGAAATGATTCACAAAACTAAATGGATTCATTGATATTGTCTTTGAAATATTTGACTCATATTTCGTACTTGACGTTTCACGTTTGTTGACATTGTGACCTGGGGTTTGTTAAGAAATTTGAGCATTTCGAGAAAGAATATGGTTGTGAAATCTACGGAGGAGATATCTTCAGATTTTGATATCGGACAGTTTTTAAACTCCTATGATTCATTAAAAGGACAGGTCAATGAATTAAATGAAATTCTTCAAGCAACGAACGTACTAAGAAGGTGAGTTGCCCCATGAAACAACTGAAGGAAGTAAAGTCAAACTTAGTAAAAGTGGGTTTCAGTTAATTGCGTTACAGGGTAACAGATGGTTGACATAATATAGCCTACATAGCTGACACCTGGCGGGTTTCCTCAACCCCAACCATTCAAAACAGCCAGCCCTGACTGGAAAGTTTGGAAATTGCGCAACCGAGATTTCAAAAATTTAATAGTAAATATATTTATAAAATAACATGTATATAACGCGTGCTCTGATTGGTCGAAACCCGTGTTTGGATCAGGCCATCCAAACACGGAAACCATAAAGTAATTGTATAAGGAAACATAAAAATTGTGCACCCAATATCTTGGTTTGTGCGATACAAACTTTTCACACTGGCAGCCAGCTGCGCAGGTTAACATGATAGGACCCATGTATTTATTCACCATTTAAAAATTACTGTTAGGTGGGACGTACCATCAGTGTCATTTCTTTGCTGTGTGTTTGTGATGACATTATGCATCAGCTTTCCTGGTATGTACACATTTCAAACATTTATTTATTTATTTAGCTTTTGCCAACTAGGGCAGGGTCACCACAACAACATATGCCATTTACAGTGGGCCCCTTTTACCTAACCCACGCTGTCAACTTTCCCTGTGGGAGGAAACCGGAGTAGTACCGGAGAAAACCCATGACTTTCAGCAGAGCGTTGACTTTTACTCTTCACATGAGGACTGGGTTCGAGTCGCATTGAGACCCTCGGAGGTGAAAGGCAAGTGTGCTAACCATTTTGCCAGCAAAGCCCCATAACTCTAGATATTTGGCTGCTAGGCTGATGATCAACACAGTTTTCCGTGCTTCAGATAATTATATGCATGCGTGATAAACTTCAGATATGATAATATATTAAAAATATTCTGATAAATCAGGCATGAAGATACCGCATGGATTACAATTGGGTTGCAAAATCTATGTACAGTAATTTGTTCAAGCATTGTATTTATTCTGAAGAGTATCGTGAGTGATAGTGGAATTAATGTTACTCAATTATTTAATTAAAAATAATATTCATTTTAAAAATTTTGACATTAGTTGTATTTGCATAAATTTATTGTAATCAAAGATATATTAATATTCTTTGTTCTACTTCATTGTTATTTGACACATAACTTGTACATCTGGTATACATTATATTGCTTCTACCCAGCTCTCCCCGAAAGAATGCTGAAAATATTTCCAATACTTTACCTGGTTTCTGTCATCATCTTCAATCATGAAAAACCTCCTTTTGTAGAATTTCTGTTTGCATTTTGTCTCTCACCAATTCTGCTGGTGATTCTTGTGACGTATGTAAAGAGTTTAGGAGAATCAAAACAAGTGAGGCATATTGTTGTCATGGCAGTAGAAAGCGAGGAAGAAAGCCTGGTAAGATTATTAGTTGCCGGCGCCCTCCCCTTGACGAATAAAATTGTCTGGCATTAGACAGAGTAAAAGTATGGTTCTGAACTATTGTCTGTCCTGGTATGGATACTGGGTAATGAGATCTCACTATCCAGTCCAGATATCCAGCCGGTATATACTGTATGATATCCGGTGCATCCCTACTTTTTAAATTTGCAAACATTGTATATCTCCATAGAAACGTAAACAAGAGATTATTGAAAGATCAAGAAGAGATTTAAGAAGATTTGTGAACGTGTAGGTACACTGGTTGTCTCTTTTTCTTGGCAGTTTATCGTCTGAGTGTTATTGGGTATATTTTATCTGTTTTTATTTCAACAATAGTTTGTGTGAAATCCAACAATTCATGGAGGTGGTATATGGCAAACTAATGTTCATACAGAGGTAACTAAGATTTCCCCTTTAAAAATCATGTTTTTTAAACCTTGTTTTAGACAGCTACACAACTTGTAATGCAACATAACATGATTTTGGGTGGCAAATGCTTATAGAGCTAAATAACATAAAAAAACATACACAACATCCATGAGCTTGTTGTGGGTTTTTCTCCCACAAAGAAGTTTTGGTAATACCACATGAAATTAATAAAATATAATCATTATTATAACTTTTAGCCTGTTTTTGTGGAAGGATCCGCAACTAACCATAAGGTCAGTGTCTTCTTATCAGAACTATCGTGATATTAAATTAAAGTAATTAAAATGCTAAATGTTACGATAAACAGTTTTTTAAAATGAAACATTTTGTGCTAATTTTAGATTTCTTGTATGTATTTTCGTGCTGATGTTGCTTTTGAGCTTTGTGCCATTGTCTCTTTTTTTCCTGGCATCTTTTCTCTATATCTTGTTAAATAATGATGAATTCAGGAAGGGTAAGAATGACAAAAGAATGTGATTATTATTATTCATTTCCATTATATTAATTTCTATTATGATTCTTTGAAGAATGTATAGTATAACATATGCGCCCAATTTTCGAATTGTCAAAACTGTAAACCTAAGTAGTATTTTACAGATTCTGGTTTATGCTCTTCCTTTGTGATGCAATGCAAACAAATTTATGTGCACTCCTTACTAGCAGTGACTTTCTATTTTTTAGTTGTTTCTGAGAATTTATCCGTTTTTATGCCAAATGTGCAGGGTAAAATATACGGCGAAAAAGATAATGAAGACAACAATCCTTTGGAGTGTGTAAGTTCTGTACATGTGTATTCATAATATAAACTTCAAGATGTTCTTGAGGAAACGCCACAGCTGCTTTCCATTTAATGTCCAGATCTTCTGTCTCTGTATTTATTAATATAGTAACGGCAAACCTGCAGACAACTTAATAGTTGATGCACTTTATATTACGTGAATTTGAAAATTTCGTATTAATTTAATAACAATTAACATTAATTTACAGTATATTATATTATATTTTATAACCGAGTATTTACAAACTGTTTAAAACGTGCAATATTTCGTGTAGTATGATGCTGGCAGTATTGTTGAAAGTGAGAACAGTTCATTTGAAGATGAGACGAGTGGCAGTGATGAAGACAGTATGGACAAGAACAATGTAAGCTTTACCGACTTATTCACAAAACTGAAATATGTCTTCATCACAAAGCTTACGAGTTTTAAAGAAAGCATTTTGTCTTATAGGCCGTGCATGACCACCTATAAAATTCAAACGTGGCCCTGCACATGGCGGTTGGACGGCCGCCTGAAATTCTACAAAAACATTGGGCTTTTGCCTAACACTTATTGTGGCATAACAATGGTGCATCGATTCACGATTTAGTGATTGGAATGTTCCATTTTCTTTTGATTGTTTTGAAAATTCCACTGTTCTCCATGTCATCCAGTCATGCATCGGTGGTCATTGATGCATACAATCTTTTGTGCATTTTCTTCTTCGTTGCTCACAGACAATGGATCGTAGAACATCGCCGATTAATGAGAATCAGGCTTAAGCAAAGGGCGTGTTATGCCGAGTTGATAACCGTTTCCTAAGTATCTCACTAGGCGAGACCTTAATAATTTATTACTACTGCCCATGCAAGTGTTCATGAAACAAAGAAGTGCTTTCTTGCTCTTTCTAGGTTGGCCAAAGTCCAGAAAAACGCTCAAGTAAGGATTTCATTAGTCTTGTTGGATTTATATACGTATCATTTGCTAATTACAGTTTATATATCGAAAGGCGCAACCGTGAAGTAATATAATATAAGCTTGTAGATAGAACAATGTACAACATATTGACTTATCGTGTATTTATATAGAGTCGCTTGTGTCACATCTCAGTGAATACAGAAGGCGACGGCAGGAGTTGAAGAAAGGTATACTTTTATTATAACGAATGTTCAATGTTGTGCTTGATGCATTATTGTCTGAAGGGACATCTCTGTCTGATCTCCGTAAGCATAAAGTGCTTTTATTTTTTATCTTCATATTAGAAACTTAAAGTGTTTATAACTTGTTAATTGTTAGGAAACTGTGCAGCCTGTGAAGTTGCATTTTCGTCGCTTCTTACAAGAAGGGTAAGTGAAGATTATCAGAAAGATTTTGTTTCTAAACAGAATTGGAACGATACACTGGGAGTTGCGGTACACACTGATTATTAGTGCATTACACCTCTGCATGGGATGGGGGCTGGACGGTTGCCCAATGCATGCATGCAGTTAATTGTAGGGGGTCTACCTTTCCAAACAGGCTGCCGGAGCACCGGCGGGTGTTATGAGGTTTACTGCCCTCTACTTTCTTTAACCAATACCACAGTGTGCATCCGTCTCACTTTATTCGCTGTCGGTGGTTATAAAGTACACTGGATTTCGGCATAACTTACTGTACCCACGGTTTGTGGCTGTAAAGTACGAAAGACTCTGGTTGATTTAAACCTATTTTGTGTAGAGATACTGTCGGCGATGTGGAGATAAGTTTTGTTCAAAATGTTGCAGACATAACGTGAAGAAAGCTGCCCTCGGTGCAACTGGTAGGTTTTGTGTGCAACTGGAGATTTTCAGTTGCCCATTATATCTATGGTAAGCAACTTCTAGTCTTCTGACGAAGCAACTTCTAGTCTGGTAAGCAACTTCTAGTCTTCTGACGAAGCGCATGTCTCGAAACGTCTGACTCAATATACCAAACAAAGTAGTTTTTCTTCGGGTACTCCGGGTTCCTTTTGCAGTGACATTGTACCAGTAAGGTTGACATTGTACCAGTAAGGTTGACATTGGACCAGTAAGGTTGACACTGACTGGACATCCAGGGACGGCAGTTTAAAACTGACAGAGCTAGCCAGTTGAAAGTTACTCGTAGTTTTACCAACAGCAGGAACATTCGTGCAGGTCCAATCGAAGTCACATCAACACTTATTTCTTTCAGCCCCTGGGTCACGTGACCAGCGCGTTCTCGTGTGTAACGATTGCTATGGCAAACTGCGACTTGCGAAAGCTCCCGACTAAAGCTGCTCGTGAACAGTCGTGATGTCTGAGATGGGAGAGCCTGAAGATGAGACTACAAGATGCAGTATAGATGACAGTCCAGGATGCACAAGACACGGCTGGAGATTATATATCGACCAATGGATCCTTGCTGTGTAACCACATAAGCCTAAAAATCGCCTCCTTTGGAGCAACGTATGCACACAGAGTAACCATAGTAACGCTTCTGTCAGTTATACTGTAGGTGCTATACCGCATGAACCGTAAGTAAATAAAAATATTTTTACTAAATATTGTTGTGTGATACTTTGCTTGGTATAGTTGTGTGATCATCTGACGTCCAAGCCAGTTCTAATCAGTTGCTAGGGCGTCGGAGCTAACTATTCGAGAAAGCAGATTTTCCTGTTACGCGGTTTTGGAATAACTCACTCAAATCATGAACATATTATTATAAATAATGAATTCTATTTTTTAAGTAAATATTGTGCCTATACAGAAAGCCAGTAGGCCCAGTAACTTATCAGTTTCTAGCATGAAGTAGTCATAATAAAAAAATTTCACTTATTAATGGTGTACTAACAAAGTCACTTTGTTTAGTGCTATTGTCGTGCAACCATGCCATATAGTTTCGATTTTCTATAAGTTTGGTTTTAAACGTCTTTCTGTGTATCGTTATTCAATTGTCAATATGTTATCCAAGCGGCTCAGTTTCCTTCATCAGCCAGCGGTAAGCAGCCGTTTTCCCCTGCTCGTGCAACATCTCGCCAACTTTTTCACGGCACATCTCATGGTAATCGTTTAACCAATTCACCTGAGGAAAAATGAAAATAATATCGCAGGGCCGTAGGTTCAATTCCTACCAGAGGACCTTGTGCTGCATTTTTCGCAGTCGTTCCTGGTCAGGTCTTAAAGTGTATATATACTCACTTGGATTACAAACCCTAAAAACAGCATTCTAGTATTTTACAAGCATTGCCCAACTCAGCAATGAGTGCTTATTATTATAGGGCAAACAGATCTCAGTGAGCGATTATACAAAAACAATTATGCTACCTCTTCGGGACTTAGCATGGATGGCATCAACATTTTCGTCTGAATAGGGAACTAAAGTAAAGGAAAAATTACACACCATTTAGTATTTTTGAAAATCTCGGGGAAATTACACTAATTCAGACAAAGATATTGAATGATACAATAGTATATAAGTTATGACAAGAGGAAAAACAAACAGTTTGCTTTTCTTACCAACGTGACTGGTTCGAACCCAAGATATCCAATATTATTAAAGTTGTTCTGTACGAAAATAAGCAATGCGGTTAATAATAGGCAATAGTCAATTAGCCTGAAAATACACACGCATAGCAAACACTCACCTCTAAAGTGACTGGTTTGAGAAGCAGGATACTTTCAATTCTTACACCAAACGAATCGTCTTCGTAATAACCAGGTTCTAAAACAATAAAGTCATTCGATTTATATTACAAACAAAACTAGGTTGGCCATTTGCGCGAAAGTAGGACGAAAGTTGAAAATTTGTCAAACTGTTCAAAATCTACACTTTTGTTTTTTTTAATACAGAACTTACATAACAGCCTAACAGGGTATAATTTAAGCAACAAATTGTTGCCATGCACCAACCGATATGAAAAGGCTTGTGATTGGCTGGTAATAACAATGAAAGACAATGAACTAAAATGATCTTTCTAAAGAACGAGTCATATACAAGGCTGTTAGAGGCTGATAATATTTTTACAATCACTAGACAGTATACATAAAATAGTTACAGTATATACCATCAGAAACAAACACCCCAGCTTCCAGTGGCTCGTCATTAGTCCTCGCACCTATGGACTGGGGACCTGAAACAAAATATAAGCAATGATATACTTTCACAATCTTGTGCCCGTATTTCATGAGCTCCCATTTCTCTCCTGCATAAGACCTTGCAAGTTGAATATAGTTTATTAGATGAGGTTTTTACCTTCATGTACATTTAGAAATGCGCCAACACCATGACCTGTGCCATGTCTATAATCTAGACCTCCTTCCCATAGACTGTATCGTGCATATGAATCTAATCTAGAACCTTTGGTAGAGATAAGGCAAGAATGGATTAAAAATAGGTACGCTTCAGCGTACATGTCTATGTACAGTATGAGCTAAACTAGACTAAAATAACTTTATCTATGTTGGATTATTCAATCATACATGAATGCATGTCTAAACTGTTCTTCCTATAGAGGACCAGTTAGGCCCATTCAAGCTTACCTTTGGTTTTGTTTGGGAAAACGGCTTTAGCTAAAGCGACATGACCTTTGACAACGCGGGTAAAGCATTTCTGTGAACAAAAGTAAATCGGAGAAATATATTATTTCACAGCTCCTAACATAATTATGCTGCTGACGCCATCGTGAAAGACCAAATAGATGAAGAAAACATGCTACCTTTTCAAAGTCGCTTGGTGTTCCAAAATGATACGTACGCGTTACATCTGTCGTGCCATCTCTGGGAAATGTGATGTAATGCTTTCAGGATTGCGTAATGGGCAGAGCATAAGACCCTGGGCATAAGCTTGTGAAAAATATCCTAGGGAATTTGCTTAAGTTATTGTGCAAGATATTTTACGCGAGGATGAATAAAATATGGCACACCTGAACTGTGCTCCAGAATCACACAAATAAATTTCATCGCTGGTTAGACTTCGATCTGTACTTTCTGACGGTCTACATACAAGAGAATGTAATACTACTACATGATTTATTATTTGCCTCTGAAAACTATATTATCAAGTAGCAATTTGAAATACCTGTAGTGAATTATTGCACCGTTTGGACCTGAAGCTGATATAGTTGAAAAACTGAGACTGACAAAATCCTCCAGTTGACTAAACAGAATTTAGTAAAAACTATGTACACAAATCACAATGTTTGTAATCATAATATATGATATTTTATGAAGGACGTTTTAGGATGGTTATTGGGATTTTGCTGTCATGATAGAATGCTACAAATTTGAGATATTTTCCACACCTGCGAAGGTCTTCCAGTTTTTTCGCAGCAGACATTTCAGTTTGCTTTCCCTTTGGCACCTAGTATATATCAAACAAATGTTTGGAAACGGTAACATAACGCTCTGCAGCTTAAACAAGGAAAAGGAACAAATTTCCATGAAAAGGATGTTTCACAATGTAACAAAAATGTCTTGTGTATAACCTATATATACAATAATATATTAACATACTTCCTTTTCAAGCCAACAAAAATACTCGCACAAAGCTGTCGCATCCCGGATCTAAAACATACCAATTTCAACAAAATTGTACAGTACATCATCAAATTCTTTTTGTAAAATATAGAAAGGTAAAGTTGAGCCCTACGTACATGAGCGTTTTTCATTCCTTCTATTTCAACTGCATTTTTGATCGCCTTAAGTTTCGCCACTGGTGACATTTCTGACACTCGCCTTTCCTGCATTTAAGAATAATATTTCTGTCAATAAAAACCACGTTGCCGTTGGTTAAAACCGACTTGTGTTTGTGTTCAGGTGACTGACTTATTGGAATATTGCGCCTTATTTCTAAGGCTAGGAATTTTAACTTACTTTTGGTAATAATGTATTTAGCGCAGCACTTGATGAGCTGCTTATCTAAATACAAAAGAAAACGGAGATAACATGGACAGCACTGTTAACTAAGCTATCGAGATTGAGAGGCTTTCGATAACCAATGGCAATGTCTAGCTGTACAAGTTTCCTTTTCGACGATTTCCAAAAATCTAAAAACATTCTTGAGTGGGTAGGTTACCTAACAGAAGTCTCTCAAAAAGTATTTGATGTGTATTAGAAAATCGCAGTTCTTAACAAACTTGGTGAAGTAATAAGGTAGCTTCTACATTACAATCCCAATGTTAGTATGTTTTTTTGAATCAATAATTGTGTTACAAAATATTTACCCAAATTTTCCCAAGACTCGAGCTAGCTAACTGATCAACAGCGGTTGCAATATCTTCATAAGGTCTGAGAGTAACTCTGCATTCATCAGACGACTTGTCATCATCCCCAGTTGTACGCAAATGTTCGTAAATTTTCTTGCTTAGTTTTGATTCGTCAATAAACAGACTAAAAATACCGTGAGAGCTGCGTATAGGGAAATGCCATGGTTATGTGGTAGTGCTGTACTACTAATCACGTAAAAACGCAGGTTGCGTTGTTGAACTGATGTGTTTAAACGCCAACAGTTCCTCGCAAAGAGAATATTGACAAGCGTTTTTATCCAAAATACTTACCACACATTCTTGTCTGTCACAATGGCATAAGCCATAAACACGGGATTGTAAACAATGTCCGAGCCACGCAGATTAAACAACCCTGTGGCAGATAGAATAAGACGTGAATAAAACACGTCTGTAATATAGATACTAACAGCAGCTAGTAATCCGGGAAACAGTAACGCACTAATACACCTTACCGATTATTCTCTTTTACCCAATGGCCTCGTTTCCATGTTAACTTACTATAGCATGTCAGGGGCAGATTTATATTCCCATGGTTTCCAGGACGAATTTGTTTCTTGCTGTTCTTAGGCTCAATAACAAAGTTACTTTCAACCCTCCTAAGCACAAAACATGACTAAGTATTTGACATGAAAACGATGCCATTGGGTAAAAGAGAATAATCGGTAAGGTCTATTGCGGCGCAATCTTGGATAGGATGGAAGATGTTATATAATCAGAAATCTGCTACTTGTTTGTCAGCTTAGCCAACTGACCTGAGCCAGGCTTTTTGCTAATAAATATGGTGTCATTTATTGGGAATGGTCATAAACAATTTCTCAACAACTCACAAGCTATTTCATCTAAAGCAGTAAAGACCACAGCAGAAGCGTTTTTGGATTTTAACTTGTTGCGGACTACCAATATTTTGTCTTGCCATTTCTGACCTGAAAACAGAAGACAAAGAGTGCTTGTTCTGCTCCAATTTGGATTTAAGAATTTGTTTACCGATAGAAGTTCACGGCAACTTCGTCGATGCATACGAGTTGAGAAGCAAAGGTGGGCATGTTACCTGAATATTTTAGGTGATGAATAAACACGTCATTCATGGGTGGATCTGGTTTCCCATGGTCTCGCCACACAACGTCTACCAAGTTCTCTCTTGATTTAACCAGAGAAAGTCCATTCAGTTTTAACTTCTATATAGCGCAAACAGTGTTGACAATATAAACAGTCATATTCACAATATACAAAAGTCAGGTGACGTCAGTGAAGACAAAATGGCTAGATTAGCGCGATCTACTGTATAGTCTGGCAATATATACAGTTTGGCGGGTACTCTTGGCTGATGTTTTACTGATAAGCCTGGTGGTGTACACTATCAAAGTTTCTGTGATCACAGTAGGAATTTTGCATCAGTAAATTCTAAGTTTTGAAGGATTTGTAAGAAATGTTTGAGGAAACTGACATTAATCCAGTATGGTCGTGAGCACAACCAACCAGTATTAACGTATTTTGGTATATAAATGAGCGTGCTTATGAGACACCCAAATAAGGGATGCTCATAAGCACGCCCAAATATATACTAAAATCCAGTATGGTCATGAGCACAAGCAGTATTAACGTATTTTGGTATATAAATGAGCGTGCTCATGAGACACCCAAATAAGGGACAGTATATCCAAATAAGGGAATACAGTATACTCATGAGCACAAGCAGTATTACCGTATTTTGGTATATAAATGAGCGTGCTCATGAGACACCCAAATAAGGGATGCTCATAAGCACGCCCAAATATATACTAAAATCCAGTATGGTCATGAGCACAACCAGTTTTACCGTATTTTGGTATATAAATGAGCGTGCTTATGAGACACCCAAATAAGGGATGCTCGTAAGCACGCCCAAATATATACTAAAATCCAGTATGCTCATGAGCACAACCATATTGACGTATTTTGGTATATAAATGAGCGTGCTTATGAGACACCCAAATAAGGGATGCTCGTAAGCACGCCCAAATATATACTAAAATCCAGTATGCTCATGAGCACAACCATATTGACGTATTTTGGTATATAAATGAGCGTGCTTATGAGACACCCAAATAAGGGATGCTCGTAAGCACGCCCAAATATATACTAAAATCCAGTATGCTCATGAGCACAACCATATTGACGTATTTTGGTATATAAATGAGCGTGCTTATGAGACACCCAAATAAGGGATGCTCGTAAGCACGCCCAAATATATACTAAAATCCAGTATGCTCATGAGCACAACCATATTGACGTATTTTGGTATATAAATGAGCGTGCTTATGAGACACCCAAATAAGGGATGCTCGTAAGCACGCCCAAATATATACTAAAATCCAGTATGCTCATGAGCACAACCATATTGACGTATTTTGGTATATAAATGAGCGTGCTTATGAGACACCCAAATAAGGGATGCTCGTAAGCACGCCCAAATATATACTAAAATCCAGTATGCTCATGAGCACAACCATATTGACGTATTTTGGTATATAAATGAGCGTGCTTATGAGACACCCAAATAAGGGATGCTCGTAAGCACGCCCAAATATATACTAAAATCCAGTATGCTCATGAGCACAACCATATTGACGTATTTTGGTATATAAATGAGCGTGCTTATGAGACACCCAAATAAGGGAT